TCATAGGTACACTTCAACTGTGAGAGACGGAATCTAAAACAAAAATCCAGAAAATCACATTGTATGATTTTTAAGTAATTAATTTGCATTTTATTGCATGACATAAGTATTTGATACATCAGAAAAGCAGAACTTAATATTTGGTACAGAAACCTTTGTTTGCAATTACAGAGATCATACGTTTCCTGTAGGTCTTGACCAGGTTTGCACACACTGCAGCAGGGATTTTGGCCCACTCCTCCATACAGACCTTCTCCAGATCCTTCAGGTTTCGGGGCTGTCGCTGGGCAATAGAGACTTTCAGCACTCTCCAAAGATGTTCTATTGGGTTCAGGTCTGGAGACTGGCTAGGCCACTCCAGGACCTTGAGATGCTTCTTACGGAGCCACTCCATATTTGCCCTGGCTGTGTGTTTCGGGTCATTGTCATGCTGGAAGACCCAGCCACGACCCATATTCAATGCTCTTACTGAGGGAAGGAGGTTGTTGGCCAAGATCTGGCGATACATGGCCCCATGCATCCTCCCCTCAATACGGTGCAGTCGTCCTGTCCCTTTTGCAGAAAAGCATCCCCAAAGAATGATGTTTCCACCTACATGCTTCATGGTTGGGATGGTGTTCTTGGGGTTGTACTCATCCTTCTTCTTCCTTCAAACACGGCGAGTGATGTTTAGACCAAAAAGCTCTATTTTTGTCTCATCAGACCACATGACCTTCTCCCATTCCTCCTCTGGATCATCCAGATGGTCATTGGCAAACTTCAGACGGGCCTGGACATGCGCTGGCTTGAGCAGGGGGACCTTGCGTGCGCTGCAGGATTTTAATCCATGACGGCGTGGTGTATTACTAATGGTTTTCTTTGAGACTGTGGTCCCAGCTCTCTTCAGGTCATTGACCAGGTCCTGCCGTGTAGTTCTGGGCTGATCCCTCACCTTCCTCATGATCATTGATGCCCCACGAGGTGAGATCTTGCATGGAGCCCCAGACCGAGGGTGATTGACCGTCATCTTGAACTTCTTCCATTTTCTAATAATTGCACCAACAGTTGTTGCCTTCTCACCAAGCTGCTTGCCTATTGTCCTGTAGCCCATCCCAGCCTTGTGCAGGTCTACAATTTTATCCCTGATGTCCTTACACAGCTCTCTGGTCTTGGCCATTGTGGAGAGGTTGGAGTCTGTTTGATTGAGTGTGTGGACAGGTGTCTTTTATAGAGGTAACGAGTTCAAACAGGTGCAGTTAATACAGGTAATGAGTGGAGAACAGGAGGGCTTCTTAAAGAAAAACCTACAGGTCTGTGAGAGCCGTAATTCTTACTGGTTGGTAGGTGATCAAATACTTATGTCATGCAATAAAATGCAAATTAATTATTTAAAAATCATACAATGTGATTTTCTGGATTTTTGTTTTAGATTCCGTCTCTCACAGTTGAAGTGTACCTATGATAAAAATTACAGACCTCTACATGCTTTGTAAGTAGGAAAACCTGCAAAATCGGCAGTGTATCAAATACTTGTTCTCCCCACTGTATATGTAATATGCTAATGTTAACTAGCTGGCCTGGCACATTGTTGTCCATGAAAGGAAGTTAGGCTAGCGAGCAAGCATTTTAGCCAGGTAGCCTAGGACAACAAAAACTAACAGTGTGTACTGTATCAAAGAGTCATAGGCTGTTTAGGCAACATGAAAGAGGAGGATGATATTGGCGTTTCTCTACAAGTAGGATGAGTCAACATGTTTTTTGTACTTGCACACACACACACACACACACACACACACACACACTCACAAACACACAGAAATCAGTACCATGGACAGCCACATCATATTTAGCTTACGTTGATTGGACTAAATCATTTTTTGGTATCTTTTAGTTGTCACTGTATTAGACTAAGCATAGGTGATTAGATGATGTTGAAATGGTGCTGGAATAGTGGAGACCGCTCCTGTTTATTTGGCGACTTGCAGTAACTCTCTGTGGTTCTAAATCAATAGTTGCTTAGTAGTCCAAAAATGTCGGAAACATTACCTTGCTTGACCATGCTGTGTTTGGTATCTGAACCAGGTTAAAGGGGGTGATTTTATACCTTTTACAAGTGTACCACTAATTATGGTCCCCTGGGACCAACACATTGGTTCCGAATATATATATATATATATATATATATATATATATATATATATATATATATACTTCAAAAACATTTTGTTGACCCATTTAGAGAAACATTCAACTAAAATACAGTCTAGGTTAGTTATTGAAAGTGATGAGTCTACATTTCATCCCTATAGGTCAGCTGTAAATACAGAGCAAACAAAGGGAAAGAAAATCTTAAATAGTTAGAGACAGGTGGAGCTGTGGCTGGTAAAACATTTGAGTGGCTGGTCAAATCTGGGCATCCACCAGCCACTGCGACTTAATTTCACACCCTTAAGTTGGTTGAAAAAAAGTTAGAGGTATAGAGGAACTGGTTAACAATTACTTTGGTATGAGCTTTTATAGTTTTTTTTTTTTTTTACCGATTTTTACAGATGGCTCCAAGGACCCAGATAGTGGTCATAGGGTGGGACATTTTTTACCTGCCACTTTTTTTCCCCAAAATGAATCTATAGTGAAGAAAAATCCCAGAAAAGGTATGCACATGTTTTGTAATGTTAAAACAACACTTCAGAGTGTTGTAACCTGTTCCAGCAGGCAAGGCCTCCATTTTAATCTGTGGTTTGAACCAGATATTGAACCTATGCTGTACCCCACTCTGCTTTCCACCACTGTAGCATTGAGATTCTGTCTTTCAGAGCTGACACACACACACTCAAATATTTATATATATATATATATATATATATATATATATATATATATATATATATATATATATATATTTATTTATTTTTTTGGTGGGCTTTGGATTGAAGAAAGAAAACTGCTCCCAAATACTCTGTGTGACCACCCGCCTGCCCTGTGTAGCTCAGTTGGTAGAGCATGGTGCTTGCAACGCCAGGGTTGTGGGTTCAATTCCCACGAGGGGGGGGGCCAGTATGAAAAAAATACGTATGCACTCACTAACTGTAAGTCGCTCTGGATAAGAGCGTCTGCTAAAATGACTAAAATGTGGCTGGTAAGAATAGACATTCTACCAGCCAATGCCAAAATCTACCAGCATTTGACTGGTGTTAATTTCCCACCATGGTAGTGCAGGAGTTTAAATGCCTGAATTTGATGTGGAGATATGTTGAAGGCGAACAGATGAACTGTCAGTATACTCTGTTGAACTGTTGGGTGAAGGTAGCTGCCCTCCAGCGGGTGGAGGACGCTCAACCTGTCAGAATGGTAGTATTCTCAGATTCCCTGTCTGTATTGAAGGGTTTATCATCTGGCCAATCTAATAAGGTTGACCCGACTATCGGAGGCTTTCGTGTTATTATGGAGAGTCGAGTATGCAGGCAGCACATTGGTAGGGGTGCTGAGGGTGCAGCAGCGCCCCCTGATAAATCCAAATTATAATACAAACAAATTCTACAAAATGTGTTAACTAGGCCTTTTATTACTCATGTATGAGCTGAGAAAAAAATACTCCTCAGCACCAGTAGCCTTATAACTTGGTCATGGCTGTACATCTCTGTTTTCGGGTTTCTCTCCATCCTCAACCTCTGGACATAATCTAATCCAAATTGCATGCTACCCAGCTAACGTTAGCTAGCTAGCGAAAAAACTACAGGCAACTTCACTTGAAAACGTGCTGGATTCAAACTATTTAGACTATGATAATAAGCTAAATCAATAGTTAATTCATAAAACTAAAAGTTTGTGTGGAAAAATTCTTTTAAAATAAATAATTATTACATTTTTAAGTCATTTAGCAGACGCTCTTATCCAGAGCGACTTACAGTTAGTGAGTGCATACATTATACATTTTTTATACTGGCCCCCGTGGGAATCGAACCCACAACCCTGGCGTTGCATATGCCATACCAACTGAGCTGCATCCCTGCCGGCCATTCCCTCCCCTACCCTGGATTAATTGTGCGCCGCCCCATGGGTCTCCCGGTCACGGCCGGCTACGACAGAGCCTGGATTCGAACCAGGATCTCTAGTGGCACAGCTAGCACTGCGATGCAGTGCCTTAGACCACTGCGCCACTCAAATATTTACCAAATGTACAGGAGCTCTCTAGCATACAGGTCAGCTGCAACCAACAGCTTTGTAGCTAGCTAGCATTTCCTCCATGAACGAAGCAAACTAGCTATCTGGCTGACAACCTAGAAAATGGAGGCTTGATAACAAGCCAGTACTGTAGTGTTGATGATTTTATATAAATTTTAGAAAACGGATGATATTAATTATTCCTTAGATAATCTAGCTAGTCCGATGGTGGTCTGCACAGCTTTCTGAAGCTCGCAACCCAGAACCACCAGAACGGCTTTGACGAAGATATTTATAACTAACCCCTTTCGTCTGTGGCTTTGATTACAAACATTCTGATTTGGTCCATTGACTATACACTCCAGGACAGTAGGTGGCGGCATGCACCTCTAATATTTGTTTTCGGACCGCCATAATACCATAGAAGAAGCAAAAGAAGCAGAAGAAGAAGAAGAACTATGTGCCCCGCCCTTTGCAGCCGGCTGTGACTAGAAGGAGTACAGCTACGACCGGAAGTGATTTTCTTCGTAGCATGCTAGGAGAACATTTTAGCTAACCCTAACCAGTTTACTAACCTTAGCCTAAGTCTCCTGACCTGCCGCGTGAATTATCCTAACGCGCTACGAAACATGTCACTTCCGGTAGGGACGTCCCAAGGATCCCAGAATAGCACATATTAAGTCAGAACCCTGGCAACCCGAGTCTCCACTATCCCATACTGCATTGCGTCTGTGTTTGCGAGCGTTAGCATTTTACATTCAGGGGCGCTAGTGTTTTTGTAGGCAGGGCATTTTCTTTTAGTGAATAACCTGCTTTTTATTAATAACGATTCGTGGTTTTTAAGTACATCACACGCAAACATGGAGATTGGCACAGAAATAAGCAAGAAAATACGGGTGAGGTCATGTCGATACTATTTGTCTTGGCAACGTAGTTAGCTAGCTACCGGTACCACCACCTGAGAAACACTATTTTCATCCCCACTTCGATACGGAAGTGACTTTTTCGTAGCATGTTAGGAGACTGAGATTAAGGTTGGGAAAGGAGTTAGGGTTAGCGAAAATGCTCTCCAACCATCGAAGTCGCGTGAAAAGTGTGTTCCACGTCACTTTGCAACGAAAACTAGCGTTTCTATTTGACAGATTCAGGTAGGTACCGCCCTGTTTGCTGCAAGGTGTCCAATAGAAACGCTCGTTTTCGTTGCAAAACAGAACGTTTTACCAACTGTTTGGAGTAACGGGGTGTAATCAGTAGTCCAAAAAGTTGCAAAACGCAACTAAAACGAGAGTTTATATTGGACAATTTCAGGTAGGTCCATCCCAGTTTGCTTCCGTTTAAGAAACGTTTTGCAACAGAATCGGCAGAATGAATACACCATAAGTAACGCTAGCTAGATAACCCATGAGACAATTTGTGTAAATGTCGAAAATACAATGACATCAAATTACTTTATGCTTGCATTTTGTCTTGATAATAATTGCGCTGAACGTTATCCAGATAAATATATCTTCGTTGGCTAGCCAGGCAAGGGAATACGAGAGAGCCATTGCAAACTGGGACATGTAACGTTACAGTAGCTAGGTTGTATATTTGACCAAGGCTGGCAATTCAGTGTATATATATATATTTTTTTTTAAAGGCTGCTATCAAGGGGAAACTTCAAGAACTCGGTGCCTATGTTGGTAAGTATGAATATCATCTGCTTTTGATCTCATGTGCATCTGCTGCAATCTGACTGTTTACCTTCTAAAATGAGTTGAAGAATCCCTTGCTTCAGATGTGATTTGTTTTACTATTGTCACTGTCTCTCTCCAGATGAAGAACTACCAGACTATATCATGGTTATGGTGGCCAACAAGAAGACTTCACAGCAGATGTCTGACGACCTGGCCCTCTTCCTTGGAAACAACACCATCACGTTTACTTTCTGGTATGTAGCTAGGCCCGGTCCCAGATCTGGTTGTACTATCTTGCCAAATTCTAAGGTAATTGAATCGCTGTTTGGCAAGACGGCACAAACAGATCTGGGACCGGGTTACAGCTAGTTCGGTGTCTTGAGTTCAGAGGGGTAACTATGTATGATCTATTTCCATGGGTGTAAACACTTCTCCTAAACCTGGCGTGTTGTCATTAACAGGTTACATGGAGTCCTGGAGAAACTGAGGTCTGTGGCAGTAGGTAAGTTCACAGGTTACATGGAGGCCTGGAGAAACTGAGGTCTGTGGCAGTAGGTAAATTCCGGTAACACCAAAGGAGTCTGTGCCTTCACTGAAAGTAATACTGTAGCGAATGGTGGGAGAGGGTATCGTCCTTTCAGAGATTAGAAGAACCCGAGTTGGGTTTGTAACAGACTTCAAGGCCAGGGTCGTTACAATACTATAATATTATGTCATATTTTTTTGTGTGTGTGTTGAGTGTCTACTCTCTCCTGTTCTTGAATAGAGAGAGCACTTGTTTTAAAATGCATTGTATCTGTTGAAATGTTTTATCTGTCCTTGTGTAACTAAATTGACAATCTCTCTCTGTGTATATCTAGAACCAGCGTCCCTGAGGTCTCCGCTCTACTCGGACACCTCAGCAGGGAAGAGCGAGAGGAAGGGCGGGGGCTCACAGGGGCTTGCGGTGTCCAGTTTGCTCTCTGATAGGACGGAGGCCCGCGTGTCCAGCTCCGCCCATGAGCACAGGTAAGTGTTGCTGTTGTATTGATTTTGAAACGTGATTAAATGTTGAAAAGAGCACTGTTCTAGTTGGCTTCGATAATGTGGAAGATCCTTAACACTAACGCATAACACCTCTGAAGACATGCATGTTGTTCAATGATATGGCGCTTCAGCATTTTATCAGAAACAAATAGGGTGAAACAGCCCAGCTTTGACTCACACACTGACAGTACTGTCATTCTGTCCAGAAGGGTCTCCTCAGACAAGACCTCCTCGTCCCGCCTCACCTCCACGGTCAAGCCCCTGGTGGACTCCTCCGAGGCCGTCATCGACATCAAGCCTGAGCTGGACGATGACCTCATCGGCGAGGACCCCGTGGACATGGGCGTCCTGCCTGGTCGCCTGCGTGGATCTACCTCCGGAGGAGGAGGAGGAGGGGGGCGGGCGTCGGCCCAGATCTACCGGCCGCCCCAGGGCAGGCTCTCCTCCGGGACAGGCAGGTCGGCAGACGCCTACAGGTCCTCAGAGGGGTCCTCGGAGTCTCACAGCAGGCAGCAGCACGGCAGCCAATACCTGGACAGTAGGAGCAGCAGAGACGGCAGGGTACAGGTAACCTTCACCACACTGTGTGTGGATGTGGCCCATGTTAGTTAGGATGGTGAATAACCGGAGGACAGAAAATGCTCTTACACCTCCAAGTCAATATTGGGTTTCCCTTCTGTCACTAACTGTCTTGTCTGGTGCTGTTGTCTCCAGCAACAGGAGGGGGTATCGAGGAAGCGTAGGGCCCCAGTGGTGAGCTCCGTGGTGCGGGTGAACCAGACGGCTGACGAGGGTCCAGACAGTGATGAGCTGGAGGAGGAGGAGGAGGATGACGAGGAGGATGAAGGATACGGAGTCAAGAGCATGTCCAGTAGAGTGTCCCTGCCTTCCAAGCCAGAACGCAAGTAAGAGAACTCACACACACCATCACTGTCTCTCTCTTTTACGCTCTCCTGTTCATTAAGGTTCATCTGGTCTGTGTTTCTTTTGCTTCTTGTTTTGCTAAGTAGCAGCTCTTAGTCCTAGTTAAAGTGAAAACCTTAGGACAGTTAGTTAGCGTGAACCTTAGGACAGTTAGTTAGCGTGAACCTTAGGACAGTTAGTTAGCGTGAACCTTAGGACAGTTAGTTAGCGTGAACCTTAGGACAGTTAGTTAGCGTGAACCTTAGGACAGTTAGTTAGCGTGAACCTTAGGACAGTTAGTTAGCGTGAACCTTAGGACAGTTAGTTAGCGTGAAAACCTTAGGAAGGACAGGTATTTAGCGTGGGAACCGTTAGTTAGTTAACTGTCCGTCCTAAACTGTCTGTATCCGGTTTTAAACATCCCTTTCTTGTCTTACACATAAATTGTACACTTCATTGTTGGTGTCCCCAGTGTGTTGTCTGTGTGTTGACCTATGTCTCTGTGGGTTTCTAGACCCTCCCTTCCCCCGGCCAAACAGGCCAACAAGAACCTGCTGATGAGGGCTATTGCTGAGGCCCAGATCTCCATCAACAAGACTACAGCCTACCCAGCTGGTATGTCTCACTCTGTCTTCACTGTCTGTCTATCTGTCTGAGTGAAGATGATTACCTTATTATAGTCATCCCTAAAGGTTCAGAAAATATGGTTCCTTTGCCCCTTCCTGTTGCAATGATGCCTTCGCTGTCTCACTGTCAATCTGCCTGAATGAAGAATACATCTAACTATAAGACACGAAGCCTACCCATAATGCATTGCCCTGTTTATTATCCTGACACCTGGGTCGTATTCACTAGGCACCAAATGGATAAAACGGACTGAAATGTTGAGGGACTAACCACTACCTGAACGTGTTAAATAAGAAACCCTTGTTTTAGTTTTTCGTTGCAAAATGCTTTACTACGTTGTGTACTAATGAGTACGACCCTGTTGCCTTCATGTCTTCCCCCCCAGTACCACAGAGACAGACAGTTCCCGTGGCTCCCAGGACCCGTTCAGCCAGCGACGAGATGAACGCAGCCATCCAGCTGGTTCAGGAGCACCTCCACGGCCTTGCCCCCAGGGGGCAGACTTACCCCCTCTCAGAGTCTCAGCCCCACAGGCAGCTAGGTACAGTGCATTGGGAAAGTCTTCAGACCCCTTGACTTTTTCCGCATTTTGTTACGTTACAGCTTTATTCCAAAAAAATGATTAAATTGTTTTTTTCCCTCATCAATCTACACACAATACCCCATAATGACAAAGCAAAAACTGGTTTTCAGATGTTTTTATAATGTTTATTTTGCAGATGTATTAAACATACAAAACAGAAATATTACATTTTACATAAGTATTCAGACCCTTTACTCAGTACTTTGTTGAAGCACCTTTGGCAGCGATTACAGCCTCGAGTCTTCTTGGGTATGATGCTACAAGCTTGGCACACCTGTATTTGGGGAGATTCTCCCATTCTTCTCTGCAGATCCTCTCAAGCTCTGTCAGGTTGGATGTGGAGCGTTGCTGCACAGCTATTTTCAGGTCTCTCCAGAGATATTCGATCGGGTTCAACTCTGGGCTCTGGCTGGGCCACTCAAGGACATTCAGAGACTAGTCCTGAAGCCACTCATGCGATGTCTTGGCTGTGTGCTTAAGGTCGTTGTCCTGTTGGAAGGTGAATCTTCGCCCCAGTCTGAGGTCCTGAGCGCTCTGGAGCAGGTGTTCGTCAAGGATCTCTCTGTACTTTGCTCCGTTCATCTTTCCCTCGATCCTGATAAGTCTCCCAGTCCCTGCTGCTGAAAAACATCCCCACAGCATGATGCTGCCACCACCATTTTTCACCGTAGGGATGGTGCCAGGTTTCATCCAGACGTGACGCTTCGCATTCAGGCCAAAGAGTTCAATCTTGGTTTCATGGTCTGAGAGTCCTTTCGGTGCCTTTTGGCAAACTCAAAGCGGGCTGTCATGTGCCGTTTATTGAGGAGTGGCTTCCGTCTGGCCACTCTACCATAAAGGCCTGATTGGTGGAGTGCTGCAGAGATGGTTGTCCTTCTGGAAGGTTCTCCCATCTCCACAGAGGACCTCTGGAGCTCTGTCAGAGTGACCATCGGGTTCTTGGACACCTCCCTGACCAAGGCCCTTCTCCCCCGATTGCTCAGTTTGTCCGGGCGGCCAGCTCTAGGAAGAGTCTTGGTGGTTCCAAACTTCTTCCATTTAAGAATGATGGAGGCCACTGTGTTCTTGGGGACCTTCAATGCTGCAGACATTTTTAATACCCTTCCCCAGATCTGTGTCTCGACACAATCCTGTCTCGGAGCTCTACGGACAATTCCTTCGACCTCATGGCTTGGGTTTTGCTCTGACATGCACTGTCAACTGTGGGACCTTTATATAGACAGGAGTGTGCCTTTCCAAATCATGTCCAATCAATTGAATGTACCCCAGGTGGACTCCAATCAAGTTGTAGAAACATCTCAAGGATGATCAATGGAAACAGGATGCACCTGAGCTCAATTTCGAGTCTCATAGTAAAGGGTCAGAATACCTATGTAAATAAGGTATTTCTGTTTATATTTTAAATACAAAATAAAAACCTGTTTTATGCTTTGTTATTATGGGGTATTGTGTGTAGATTAGCATTTTTTAAAAACCATTTTAGAATAAGGCTGTAACGTAACAAAATGTGGAAATCGGGAAGGGGTCTGAATACTTTCCGAATGCACTGTATATCAAGACACCAAGGCCCAATCCCAAACCCAACCCCTAATCCCTCCGCCCTATGCCCTTGTGGAGATCTGGGAGGCTTTTATTAGTATAGGCAATCTGGGGAAACCTCCACCTAGCACTACTATTATTATTATCCATATTCATACACCTGTCAAATCCACTCAGATCTCCATCAGTGCATCAGGCATAGGGGTCGAATTGGGATTGGGCCCATGACTTACCATCTCATTAGCGGAGCCTGATTGTTGGTGTTTGTCCTGATGTAACTGTACTGTCTGGTGTCGTCCTCTAGTCCAGTCCCTGGCCTCTCGGCTGCAGTTAGACGTGCCAGAGGACATGAGAGCGCAGCACAGTGGCTATTTATGTGAGTGTCCTATTTTAACCCAAATTTATTTTCCAACCATAATTTTTTTTTCATTCCGTTCCACTGTTCCGACCTGCGAAATAAAGTTCTGAACCGGTTCGAAAACCCCAGAAAAGTAACTATTTATATCATTCCTTTCTGTTCCGTTTTAAACCTTTTTGAAATTGATTTTTTTTTCTTTCTACATTTATCTCGACATTAAATGACTTCACCAATCAGAGAAGCTTGCTGTGGAGCGGGTCAGCTATAGCTCAGTGAGTTGTTTACATGCGTGATGGAGGACAAGTGTAGGGAGCCAGATGCAGAGAGCGTGAGAGAGGGTGGAGGAGGCTTGCCTTGAAGCGCTGGGCATCTTGTGATGACATGCATTATCTGAATTAGACCCACAGAATTATACCTACGGAGGAACGGCTTCTATGAAGGACCTTTGAATGTCTTTGAACTGCAGAGAGTTGCCTTAACGTTGGATCAGAGCAAACGTTAGCTAGCTAGCAAGCTTCTGTGTTCAGAGCAGCACTAGAATTAATAAAAACACGTCTTACCTTTTTGTAGTTAATAAATCCAATGTGAAACGTGATAACTATAGTTTCCTCAACTAGCATTGAAAAAGTTAATCCATTCTTCTCTAATAAAAATTTCTGAATCTTTCTTGTAACGTCGGTAGTACAGTAGCCTGTGGGCAGTTAGCCTACACATGCGTACACAGACACTGGCAAAGATTTTCAGATGGCATGCAGACACTGGAATACGTTCTTTGTGGGACTGAAAAAAAAAATGCCCCGGGAACGTTATTAACCGCTTCCCATGCTTTTTTAAAATAACAATTCTCTTCCGGAACAGTATAGATCACTTTTAGTTTTCGGTTCTGGTTTCTGTTCCTTGAAAAATGTTTGTTATTTTCTGGTTTTCTGTTCTGTTCCCTGAACCGGTTCCAATCCCTGGTTTTGACCACAATATCCTAACCTTACCTGGGATTGTAGCCTTGGGATGCCCAAGTTAAACATCAGGGCCCATATTAAGAGTAGGACTGGGGTGGCAGGTAGCTTAGTGGTTAAGAGCGTTGTTCCGGTAACCGAAAGATCGCTGGTTCTAATCCCCGAGCCGACTAGGTGAAAAATCAGTCTGTGCCCTTGAGCAAGGCACTTAACCCTAATTGCTCCTGTAAGTCGCTCTGGATAAGAGCGTCTGCTAAAATGACTAAAATGTAAATGATCTAGGATCAGGTCCATGTAATCGTATTCATTGTGAATAGACAAGAACAGCTCAAGGACAGAACTATTTGTCTAACACACCGGGGAGTAGGACTGCTTTGTTTAACTCTTAACTCAGGACACCCCCTTTGACACCCGCTCCTTTAGATTGACTCCTATAGTACGCAGTGCAGCCTATAGCATCAGGTGGAACGTGTGTAGCTAACTGTAACTGACAACATGACTAACTCTGTCTTTCCTCCCACCAGTGCCGGAGGTGGCAGAGGGGAGCGGTCTGAAGCCTTTTGACACCCGCTCCTTCATCGTGAGGAGGTCTGAGCTGGGGGAGGAGGTGGTTCCTGTCAGGAGCAGACTGGGACAACTGGAGCAGGAGGTGAGGAGGAGGAGGAAGATGATTATGATGATGATTATTATTTTGTCATTTTACAGCGTGTCAGCATAAAAATACATGTAGACAGATAATATATGATTAAAGTTAAAACAATTCAACCACTCATGAAGATGTACTGTTACCCACTATTGTAAACTCAAACACACAATGTTCTTAATGTTACTTGCCTTTTAAGGTAACATCAGTTTACAGCATGTTTTTTTCTAACACAACCAACTAGAACTTTTGTTTACATTATAAGCTCATACAACTGCATTTAAAGTCATCAAGGACGACACTGAAGTTTACCAACGTGTTTCCAATGTGGTCCCGTTAGGTACCTATGAGGACTAGGCTGGGGTTAGAGGAGGTGGCACCTCCTATGAGGGGTGGACTGGAGGAGGTGGCATCTCCTATGAGGAGTAGACGGGAGGAGACTATAGTGCCTATGAGGAGCAGGCTGGGAGCCATGGTCAAGGAGGAGTTCCTACCAGCTACTCCACGCATGGTGCAGCCAGCCAGGTATATCATACTGACTACCTTCTTCATGACTCTCACTGACTACCCTCTTCATGACTCTCACCGACTACCCTCTTCATGACTCTCACCGACTACCCTCTCACCGACTACCCTCTTCATGACTCTCACCGACTACCCTCTCACCGACTACCCTCTTCATGACTCTCACCGACTACCCTCTCACCGACTACCCTCTTCATGACTCTCACCGACTACCCTCTTACTGACTCTTACTGACTACCCTCTCACCGACTACCCTCTCACCGACTACCCTCTCACCGACTACCCTCTTCATGACTACCCTCTTAATGACTCCGACTGCTGGCTTAGATATTTCCGTGACACGTTGTTGCAGCAGCTGGGTTCCAGCATGGCTGACTGAAAACAAGCTGGCCCCATAATATATCTGCTGGCCCCATAATATATCTGATGGCCCCATAATATATCTGATGGCCCCATAATATATCTGCTGGCCCCATAATATATCTGATGGCCCCATAATATATCTGATGGCCCCATAATATATCTGATGGCCCCATAATATATCTGATGGCCCCATAATATATCTGATGGCCCCATAATATATCTGATGGCCCCATAATATATCTGCTGGCCCCATAATATATCTGCTGGCCCCATAATATATCTGCTGGCCCCATAATATATCTGCTGGCCCCATAATATATCTGATGGCCCCATAATATATCTGATGGCCCCATAATATATCTGATGGCCCCATAATATATCTGATGGCCCCATAATATATCTGATGCCAGCCGAGGGGCATAGATAGGCTAGTTAGCTAACCATGCACCTAAACTAGGCTGGAAATAAACAAAACCGTCATAATGCTTTTGTGTGTATCTCTCCCTCCCTTCCCCCCTCTCCCTCCCTTCCCCCTCTCCCTCCCTTCCCCCCTCTCCCTTCCCTCCCCCCTCTCCCTTCCCTCCCCCCTCTCCCTTCCCTCCCCCCTCTCCCTTCCCTCCCCTCTCCCTTCCCTCTCCCTTCCCTCCCTTCCCCCTCTCCCTTCCTCTTCCCTTCCCTCCCTTCCCCCCCCCCTCCCTCCCCTTCCCCCCTCTCCCTCCTTCCCCTCTCTCCCTTCCCTCCCCCCGCTCCCTTCCCTTCCCCCTCTCCTTCCCTCCCCCCTCTCCCCTTCCCTCCCCCCTCTCCCTTCCCTCCCCCCCCTCTCTCCCCCTCCTCTCTCCTCCCTTCCCCTCCCTCCTCTCCTCCCCCTTCCCCTCCCTCCTCTCCCCCCTTCCCCGTCCCCCCTCCCTCTCCCCCCTTTCCCTGCTCCCTCCCCCCTCTCCCTCCCCTTCCCCCCTCTCCCCCTCTCCTTCCCCCCTCTCCCCTCTCTCTCCCTCTCCCTCCCCTCCCTCCCTCCCCTTCCCTCTCCCTCCCTCCCCTCCCTTTCCTCCCCCTCTACCTTCTCCCCTCTCTCCCTCCCTCTCCCCTCTCCCCTCTTTTCCTCCCCCCTCTCCCCTCTTCCTCCTCCCTAGCCGTGAGAAGTCTGAAGCCGCGAGGTCAGCCAGTCCTAAGTTCATTGTGACCCTGGATGGGGTTCCTAGCCCCCTGGGTAACCTAGGAGACTGTGACATGGAGGCAGATGACAGTTGTCCTAAACCAGCCAAGACCCCCATGCCTGACCCCTCCATCCACCTCAGAACAAAACCCAAACTCAGCATCTACCACAGACTGCAGGGGGAGCCACAATACTCAGACGGTAATATTTAGTATTTTACCAGGTTAGCCTCATTTGAGATGAACTATCTCTTTTTTACGAGAGACCTGGCCAAAATTGCAGCACAGACACATTTGCAACATCAAATACACAGCACTACAGTTTTAAAAATACATACATTTAGACATTGAACAACCTTTTGTAGCTGAGATAGCTGTCAGTTACACCAGAGCTCCCTTAGGGTTGGTTTCCACTGCTTCGTGCCCAGTGTTTCTAGTCTGTTTTCTCCCTGACTGGAGATGTTCACCAGCCACCACTGTCAGTGTCAGCGACCAAACTACCGGAAATCACTATTTTCCGATGGAAAGCGGTTCTGCCAAGGTGAGGAGGCTTTTGGGCATTTTGCAGTAGGAATGCAACCAGAGTTGAGCAAGGTTGACCTTCATGGAAATCATCAGTGAAGTCGCGATCAGGGAGGGAGGATGTTGGAAGACAGATTTGACACAAACAATGACATTCTAGACGATTCTGTGCTTACAACTTTGTGGCAACAGTTTGGGGAAGGCCCTTTCCTGTTTCAGCATGACAATGCCCCTGTGCACAAAGCGAGGTCCATACAGAAATGGTTTGTCGAGATCGGTGTGGAAGAACCAACATCTAGTGGAAAGCCTTCCCAGAAGAGTGGAGGCAGTTATAGCAGCAAAGGGGGGACCAACTCCATATTAATGTCCCATGATTTTCAAATGAGATGTTCGACGAGCAGGTGTCCACATACTTTTGGTCAGGTAATGTATCTCATCCTATCATGTCATCCCTCTGTTTCAGAAGAAGGGATGGAGGAGGCGGGTCCTGTGAAGAGACAGAAGGTTCTGGAGCGGTGCAAGTTCTGGCCTGTCTGTAAGAGTGGAGACAACTGTGTCTTCCATCACCCCACTACACAGTGCAAGTAGGTACCACCACCCCACAGTAGGTTCCACCACCCCACAGTAGGTACCACCACCCCACAGTAGGTTCCACCACCCCACAGTAGGTTCCACCACCCCACAGTAGGTTCCACCACCCCACAGTAGATTCCACCACCCCACAGTAGATTCCACCACCCCACAGTAGGTTCCACCACCCCACAGTAGGTTCCACCACCCCACAGTAGGTACCACCACCCCACAGTAGGTACCACCACCCCACAGTAGGTTCCACCACCCCACAGTAGGTTCCACCACCCCACAGTAGGTTCCACCACCCCACAGTAGGTTCCACCACCCCACAGTAGGTTCCACCACCCCACAGTAGGTTCCACCACCCCACAGTAGGTTCCACCACCCCACAGTAGGTACCACCACCCCACAGTAGGTTCCACCACCCCACAGTAGGTTCCACCACCCCACAGTAGGTTCCACCACCCCACAGTAGGTACCACCACCCCACAGTAGGTTCCACCACCCCACAGTAGATTCCACCACCCCACAGTAGATTCCACCACCCCACAGTAGATTCCACCACCCCACAGTAGGTTCCACCACCCCACAGTAGGTTCCACCACCCCACAGTAGGTTCCACCACCCCACAGTAGGTTCCACCACCCCACAGTAGGTTCCACCACCCCACAGTAGGTTCCACCACCCCACAGTAGGTTCCACCACCCCACAGTAGGTTCCACCACCCCACAGTAGGTTCCACCACCCCACAGTAGGTACCACCACCCCACAGTAGGTACCACCACCCCACAGTAGGTTCCACCACCCCACAGTAGGTTCCACCACCCCACAGTAGGTTCCACCACCCCACAGTAGGTTCCACCACCCCACAGGGTGGTACCCCACAGTAGGTTCCACCACCCCACAGTAGGTTCCACCACCCCACAGTAGGTTCCACCACCCCACAGTAGGTTGGTACCCCACAGTAGGTTCCACCACCCCACAGTAGGTTCCACCACCCCACAGTAAGTGTTTTTGACTGATGCCCTCAATGGAGTGATACAGGTTATGCAAAATGTAATGTAGGAATATTAACACCTGTAAAGCATTGTGCTGAAATGTGGTTTTAGACTTTTAGCTGCAGAGTCACTGATACCTTTTATATTGACTTAACTCATGTTTCCTTCCCCATCTCTGTGGCCAGGGCCTTTCCCAGCTGTAAGTTTGGGGACAAATGCCTGTTCGTCCATCCGAACTGTAAATTTGACGGCAAGTGTTCCAAACCAGACTGCCCCTTTACCCACGTCAGCCGCAGAGGCCCCGCCCCCTACACACCCCCAGCCAGACCTGGTATATGTACACACCTTTTATGGTCTTTTAACAGAAGCTTTTATCCAAAGCAATGTACAGTTCATAGTAAGACATGTTTCTTATAGTATGGCTGTTGAGATACGGTCTTCATTGGGCCAACATTGTCCTTCACTGGCCCAACAGTGACCTTCAATGGGCCAACAGTGACCTTCACTGGGCCAACAGTGACCTTCACTGGGCCAAATTGCATGTGGCTTTTGAAGTTTGTAGGAAGTTAGAATTTTTCTAAAAGCGGTGTTGTTTCTTGGTTTTGTCGTCCTGCAGTGCCTCCACCTCAGTCCAGAAGTGTGTGTCGTTTCTTCCCGGAGTGTAAGAAGACAGACTGCCTCTTCTACCACCCCAAGGTCAGATCCCGATAATGGTAACGGTTGAGTGGTTGATGGTGTGTCTGTGTCCACCCCGAGGTCAGATCCCGATAACGGTTGAGTGGTTGATGGTGTGTCTGTGTCCACCCCAAGGTCAGATCCCGGTAACGGTAACGGTTGAGTGGTTGATGGTGTGTCTGTGTCCACCCCGAGGTCAGATCCCGATAACGGTTGAGTGGTTGATGGTGTGTCTGTGTCCACCCCGAGGTCAGATCCCGATAACGGTTGAGTGGTTGATGGTGTGTCTGTGTCCACCCCGAGGTCAGATCCCGGTAACGGTTGAGTGGTTGATGGTGTGTCTGTGTCCACCCCGAGGTCAGATCCCGATAACGGTTGAGTGGTTGATGGTGTGTCTGTGTCCACCCCAAGGTCAGATACCGATAACGGTTGAGTGGTTGATGGTGTGTCTGTGTCCACCCCGAGGTCAGATCCCGATAACGGTTGAGTGGTTGATGGTGTGTCTGTGTCCACCCCGAGGTCAGATCCCGATAACGGTTGAGTGGTTGATGGTGTGTCTGTGTCCACCCTGAGGTCAGATCCCGATAACGGTTGAGTGGTTGATGGTGTGTCTGTGTCCACCCCGAGGTCAGATCCCGATAACGGTTGAGTGGTTGATGGTGTGTCTGTGTCCACCCCGAGGTCAGATCACCGAGTAACGGTTGAGTGGTTGATGGTGTGTCTGTGTCCACCCGAGGTCAGATCCCGTAACGGTTGAGTGGTTGATGGTGTGTCTGTGTCCACCCCAGGTCAGATACCGATAACGTTGAGTGTGATGTGTCTGTGTCCACCCCGAGGTCAGATCCCGTAACGGTTGAGTGGTTGATGGTGTGTCTGTGTCCACCCACGAGTCAGATCCGATACGGTTGAGTGGTTGATGGTGTGTTGTGTCCACCCAGAGGTCAGGATACCCGATAACGGTTGAGTGGTTGATGGTGTGTCTGTGTCCACCCGAGGTCAGATCCCGATAACGGTTGAGTGTTGATGTGTGTCTGTGACCCGAGTCAGGAACCCACGACATAGTATCATGACTGGAGTAGTCTGTTCACCCGGCAGGTATGACACACGTTAACGTGATGGCCTGTACTTTCCACCCCAGTGCAGGTACCACCATACACGCCTAGTGGATTTCTAGGCCCAGGCAGGCCCTCAAGTGGACTAAGGCCCTCAGTAACCACCCATCAAGTATATTACCCAGGCAGGTAACCACACATTATACATACCTAGTATTATCTACCCAGGGCAGGTAACCACACATTATACATACCTAGTATTATCTACCCAGGGCAGGTAACCACACATTATACATACCTAGTATTATCTACCCAGAGCAGGTAACCACACATTATACATACCTAGTATTATCTACCCAGAGCAGGTAACCACACATTATACATACCTAGTATTATCTACCCAGGGCAGGTAACCACACATTATACATACCTAGTATTATCTACCCAGAGCAGGTAACCACACATTATACATACCTAGTATTATCTACCCAGAGCAGGTAACCACACATTATACATACCTAGTATTATCTACCCAGGGCAGGTAACCACACATTATACATACCTAGTATTATCTACCCAGAGCAGGTAACCACACATTATACATACCTAGTATTATCTACCCAGAGCAGGTAACCACACATTATACATACCTAGTATTATCTACCCAGAGCAGGTAACCACACATTATACATACCTAGTATTATCTACCCAGAGCAGGTAACCACACATTATACATACCTAGTATTATCTACCCAGAGCAGGTAACCACACATTATACATACCTAGTATTATCTACCCAGGGCAGGTAACCACACATTTATACATACCTAGTATTATCTACCCAGGGCAGGTAACCACACATTATACATACCTAGTATTATCTACCCAGGGCAGGTAACCACACATTATACATACCTAGTATTATCTACCCAGAGCAGGTAACCACACATTATACATACCTAGTATTATCTACCCAGGGCAGGTAACCAGGTAACCACACATTATACATACCTAGTATTATCTACCCAGGGCAGGTAACCACACATTATACATACCTAGTATTATCTACCCAGAGCAGGGAACCACACATTATACATACCTAGTATTATCTACCCAGAGCAGGTAACCACACATTATACATACCTAGTATTATCTACCCAGGGCAGGTAACCACACATTATACATACCTAGTATTATCTACCCAGAGCAGGTAACCACACATTATACATACCTAGTATTATCTACCCAGGGCAGGTAACCAGGTAACCACACATTATACATACCTAGTATTATCTACCCAGGGCAGGTAACCACACATTATACATACCTAGTATTATCTACCCAGAGCAGGGAACCACACATTATACATACCTAGTATTATCTACCCAGGGCAGGTAACCACACATTATACATACCTAGTATTATCTACCCAGGGCAGGTAACCACACATTATACATACCTAGTATTATCTACCCAGAGCAGGTAACCACACATTATACATACCTAGTATTATCTACCCAGGGCAGGTAACCACACATTATACATACCTAGTATTATCTACCCAGGGCAGGTAACCACACATTTATACATACCTAGTATTATCTACCCAGGGCAGGTAACCAGGTAACCAGGTAACCAATAAAACACTGCCTGCAGAAAGTATTCAAACCCCTTTCACTTTTTCCACATTTTGTTAAAATACTGTTATTAAGTGGGATTGAAATTGAACTTTTTTGGGGGGGAGAAACAAATGTAACATTTTGGAAATGCAACATATATATATATATATTTTAAATACATTTACATTTACATCATTTAGCAGACGCTCTTATCCAGAGCGACTTACAAATTGGTGCATTCAACTTATGATAGCAAGTGGGATTACTTTATACTATTCCAGGTATTCCTTAAAGAGGTGGGGTTTCAAGTGTCTCCGGAAGTAAATAAAACACAAATATATCTTGATTGGATAAGTATTCTACACCCTGAGTCAATACATGTTAGAATCACCTTTGGCAGCCATTACAGCTGTAAGTCTTTCTGGGTAAGTCTCTAAGAGCTTTGCATGCCTGGATTGTACAATATTTGCACATTATTCTTTTTTAAATTCTTCAAGCTCCGTCAAGTTGGTTGTTGCTCATTTCTAGACAGCCCTTTTCAAGTCTTGCCATAAGATCTTCAAGATGATTTAAGTAAAAATTGTAACTAGGCCACTCAGGAACATTCAATGTTGTCTTGGGAAGCAACTCCAGTGTATATTTGGCCTTGTGTTTTAGGTTATTGTCCTGCTGAAAGGTGAATTTGTCTCCCAGTGTCTGTTGGAAAGCAGACTGAACCAGGTTTTCCTCTAGGATTTTGCCTGTGCTTAGATCTATTGTTTCTTTTTATCCTAAAAACCTCCCCAGTCCTTGCTGATGACAAGCATACCCATAACACGATGCAGCCACCAACATGCTTGAAAATATCAAGTGTTACTCAGTGACGTGTTGTGTTGGATTTGCCCCAAATATAACGCTTTTTATTCAGGACATAAAGTGAATTTCTTTGCCACATTTTTTTTAGTTTTACTTTAATGCCTTATTGCAAACAGGATGCATGTTTTGGAATATTTTTTATTCTGTACAGGCTTCCTTCTTTTCACTCTGTCATTTAGGTTAGTATTGTGGAGTAACTACAATGTTGTTGATCCATCCTCAGTTTTCTCCTATCACAGCCATTCAACTCTGTAAGTCACCATTGGCCTCATGGTGAAATCACTGAGCGGTTTCCTTCCTCTCTGGCAACTGAGTTAGGAAGAATGCCTGTATCTTTGTAGTGACTGGGTGTATTGATACACCATCTAAAGTGTAATTAATAACTTCACCATGCTCAAAGGGAAATTCAATGTCTGCTTTTTATTTCTACCAATAGGTGCCCTTCTTTGCGAGGCGTTGGAAACCCTCCCTGGTCTTTGTGGTTAAATCAGTGTTTTAAGTCCACTGCTCGACTGAGGGAACTTACAGATAATTGTATGTGTGGGGTACAGAGTTGGGGTATTCAAACAAAAATCATGTTAAACACTTATTGCACACAGTGAGTCCATGAAACGTATTATGTTACTTGTTAAGCAAATTTTTACTCCTGAACTTTAGGCTTTCCATAACAACAGGGTTGAATATTTATTGATTCAAAACATTTCAGTTTTAACATTTTTATTAATCTGTAAAAAAAAAAAAATAGACCAGTGACGTCTCAATTTAATAAATGTTTAAATCAGGTTCTAATACAACATTTAGAAAAAATCAAGGGGTGTGAATACTTTCTGAAAGTCCTGTACCTAGTATTATCTAACTCTAAATAGTTTTTAACACCCATTAAAATTATATTATAATTTCAATGTCCGGGTTTGTCTCACATTTACATTTTAGTCATTTAGCAGACGCTCTTATCCAGAGTGAGTGAGTGCATACATATATTATATATTATTTTTTCATCATGGCCCCCCCCCCCCCCCCCCCCCCCCCCCCCGTGGGAATCGAACCCACAACCCTGGCGTTGCAAACGCCATGCTCTACCAACTGAGCTACACGGTGTCTTAAAAGTTAAAGCACTGATTTTGTTATTTTGTCTTTCAAGTCAACATTTCTTACTGACACTTTTGTTCCAAGTCTAAGTGACTTTCATGAGACTGATCACCAAACTGTGTTGTGTTTTTAGTCCTAATGCAGTGCTTTGTTTTTCCTAGCTAGACTACAAGAGACGAGCAACCGAGACTGACTGAGTCAATATGATGTGAAGCTATTGAAGATGGGATTTGTTTTTATTCTCTCGCGGTTTAATTCTCGACAATCTGGTCCATCCTTCATATACTTTTATTTCATTTTATTTGTGAAACTTGACAGATTTTTGTTGTTGTTTTTTTGATATTGCTGAAAGTAAATTAAAATACTCTGTCAAGTTGTTGGTCTGTGTATTTTCAATCTAGTCCCAAGGCTCAGTTGAGAGGGAGCCGACTGGGAACAAGATGGGTATTTTCATTACACTGCTAGACTGACTGAGTGCCACCCCTAAAAAAAATCTGTCTGGACCTGCCGTTTCCACACTGAACATCAATCAATCAATTAAATTACTTTTATAAAGACCTTTTTACATCAGCAGTTGTCACAAAAAAAAGTGCTTAACATATACCCAGCCTAAAACCCCAAAGGGCAAGCAATACAGAGACAGAAGCACAGTGGCCAGAAAAAAACCTCCCTAGAAGGCAGGAACCTAGGAAGAAACCTAGAGAGGAACCAGGCTCCAAGGAGTGGCCAGTCTTCTCCTGGCTGTTCTGGGAAGACCAGAGAAACCAGGCTCTGAGGGGTGGCCAGTCCTCTCCTGGCTGTTCTGGGTAGACCAGAGAAACCAGACTCTGAGGGGTGGCCAGTCCTCTCCTGGCTGTTCTGGGAAGACCAGAGAAACCAGGCTCTGAGGGGTGGCCAGTACTCTCCTGGCTGTTCTGGGTAGACCAGAGAAACCAGGCTCTGAGGGGTGGCCAGTCCTCTCCTGGCTGTTCTGGTTAGAGATGTTGAGCTAACAACTCAGACTACCTCACAGCTATTGTACAACAGTGAATAATATGAGAAACATTACATTTTCACAATCACCTTGTCAGAAACCAGTTCACACAAGTAAAAGGTACATCATTTATCTTTGTTTCACTCAATAAAACTTTGCCAGAAGACGTAAGGCCACATTTGGTGTCAGAAGGTCTCCACCCAGGGCGTAGAATAGCTCCATAGTTTACTGAGACGGAAAAGTGTGTGAAGCTTTTTCATTGTCGTACAATACATCACATTTACCTGGCATTTTTGTCATTTAGAAGATGCTCTTATCCAGAATGACTTATTACAGTTAGTGCATTCACTTTAAAGGGTAAGTTTCAAAAATGCATTCAGGTGAGAAGGTGGGGGTGGGGGAATTTATCATAAATATTCATTTTGGGGGTGGGTAGATGTACTCAATGATGTATATAAATACTGGATTGATGATGCTATGTTTTGGCCATTGAGAGGCTTTGAAGCCACCGGTCGGCCATATTGCCACTCCCTAGTAAGAGTACCCTATTTGAATAAATGGAATTCTACAGTATTTCAATTAAATGTTTAAAGGACAAAATTACATGTAATTTATGTTTTATTATAGTGGGGAGAGTAACATTAGTAATAAATAAAAAAGTATACTTTAAGGAATTTTCTTAAATATTTTTATTTATTTGTATGTTTATCTCACATAATTTAAAAGTCTGCAATAATGTGTCTGTAATAGAATAGATGTGCCAAAAACGAATGTAGACATTAATAAATGCATTTCTATAGCTTCCAAAATATTTTGTGTAACGATGGAGGCTCAGTGGCTTCAAAACAGCACCAAGATGGAGGCTCAGTGGCTTCAAAACAGCACCAAGATGGAGGCACAGTGGCTTCAAAACAGCACCAAGATGGAGGCTCAGTGGCTTCAAAACAGCACCAAGATGGAGGCACAGTGGCTTCAAAACAGCACCAAGATGGAGGCTCAGTGGCTTCAAAACAGCACCAAGATGGAGGCTCAGTGGCTTCAAAACAGCACCAAGATGGAGGCACAGTGGCTTCAAAACAGCACCAAGATGGAGGCTCAGTGGCTTCAAAACAGCACCAAGATGGAGGCTCAGTGGCTTCAAAACAGCACCAAGATGGAGGCTCAGTGGCTTCAAAACAGCACCAAGATGGAGGCTCAGTGGCTTCAAAACAGCACCAAGATGGAGGCTCAGTGGCTTCAAAACAGCACCAAGATGGAGGCTCAGTGGCTTCAAAACAGCACCAAGATGGAGGCACAGTGGCTTCAAAACAGCACCCCGAGTAGTCATCAAGTGTATATACAAATCCTATATAAATCAAAGCATACTTACCAGAAGTCCACTGGCACTCTGATAATAATTGTGAATCTGGAGCAAATATGGCTCTGGACCAGTGGAGGCTCCTCAGTGAATTTCATAAAAATAGTGAAACATTCAAAAAGTTCCATATATGTTATTTCATCGTTTTGATGTCTTCACTATTCTACAATGTAGAAAATAGTAAAAGGAAGAAAGAAAATCCCAGGAATGAGTAGGTGTGTTCAAACTTTTGACTGGTACTGTATATATATATATGTGTGTGTGTGTGGCCTTGACTATAATACAGTATATACATATGAAGTGTCCTGTGCTCAACCTAAAACACTTTTAGCATTTACACAGAGAAAGTGTCAAAATAAATTCACCAACACCACACGACACCATTCGTGCAGACTAATGAAAATATGTATTTATTTTCATGTACTCAAGTCAGTCAATACAGAACATTTCAACAAAACATTCATAACAAAACATTTTCCAGTTTTCATACAGTATTACTGAACATACCATTGTACTGTAACATAAATTACATATCCAGTTCAGTACCGAATAAAAAAGAGAAATAACCTAAACATCTCTCCGCCTAGCTGGATCTGGCCACAGGGCCTCGTCAACATCACAGGCTATATTTTCATTTGCAAGGCAACGTGGGAAGAATCTTTTGGAGTGACGAATCCACCCTTGTATGGATGCTGCTTCAATTTGATCACATGCTTCCACCATAGCTTGAATGAGGGCCATCTGGACATAGGGCCCGAGATCATAAACCTTCCACCGCCATGCTGAGAAGAACTCCTCGATGGGGTTTAGGAAGGGGGAGTATGGTGGAAGGTATTGAACTGTAAATTGTGGGTGTTGATGAAACCAGTTTTGGACCAGAGCAGAACGACGGAAAGCTACATTGTCCCGGACGACAACGTATTGCATCTGGTCCCTTTGGTTTGCTGCTGTGATAACATTGTGTAATCTGTCTAAAAATGTAAGAATGAGGTCAGTGTTGTAAGGACCCAAGTTGGCATGGCGGTGGAGGACCCCCATTCTGTGTAATGGCAGCACAAAGGGTAATGTTACCCCCACGTTGCCCTGGTACATTGACAATAGCCATGTGGCCAATGATGTTTCTTCCCCTTCTTCTCACTGTTGTCAGGTTAAATCCAGCCTCATCAATGTATATAAACTCATGCGGGACTTCCTCCGCATTCATTTGCAAAACTCTCTGAAATACAGCAAAAGATCGCATTGTGTAGATCAATTTACTGAAGGTCTGCTATACAGTACACAATACTACAGTCAGTGAACAAAACGTACCACCACATATTCACGCCTCAGGTCTTTCACCCTGTCTGAATTTCTTTCAAATGGCACTTTATACAGTTGCTTCATCAGAACTTGATGTTTTTTAAGGATACGGGCTATTGTTGACAGAGAGACCTGTTGGACATTATTGAACATTCGGTGATCATTGACAATATGGGCTTGAATTTCTCTAAGTCTGATTGCATTATTGGCCAAAACAAGGTTTATGATCTCTCTCTCTTGCTCCTGTGTGAATATGGGGCCCATCCCTCCTTGGTGTTCTCGAAGTTCAATCCTTTGTTGGCCAAACAAAATACATGTAGCTTACTGTAAAATGATACAGGAATAGATACCAAAAACTGTTGATATAGTACATGCAGTAAGCTATGGATTTTCTGTTGACAGAAGATACGTTTCTCACCTGTGCTCTTGACGAAATGTCCGAACTATTGATGCCACCGTGTACCTGCTGAGGTTAGGCTGTACTCTCAGTCCAGCCCCCCTCAGTGTTAGTCCGTGGTTTATTACATGGTCCACAATTGTAGCACGAATTTCGTTACACAGATTTGGTTGTCTTCTTCTTTGTGCATGTCCTACCCCTCCTCCAGGTCTTCCTCTTCCTCTCCCTCTTCCTCTGACACCGTCAATTTTTTTTTAAGACAGGTGAACTTACCTGTTGCCTTTTTATAGTGCTTAAACCTGATTGGTGTGTCTACAATTAAGCGCCAGTGTGTGCGCACACCTGGTGGCTGTGTTTAACCAATTGGTTCATGGGTGTGTTCATTTGAAAGCCTTTGCTTTGAAATTGCAAAAATTGCAAGGAAATGACATCTTGATGAATTTCTGTGTCAAATGCATACAAGTGTGTTTAGTGTTTTGCAAATCACTGTGTGTAATGTTTTGCAAAAAGTGTGAAGCTGACAATGTGCTTTACAGTTGTGCAAATCTAGGCCGGTGTTTTGCTCCTTGAGTGTAAGGTTTTGCTAATTGTGGGAAAGTTTTAATTTTAGCGTGTAAGTAATTGAAAAAAACTGTAAAGTGACCAGTGTTCCATGACTATGTACATAGGGCAGCAGTCTCTAAGGTGCAGGGTGGAGTAACCGGGTGATAGCCGGCTAGTGACAGTGACTAAAGTTCAGGGCAGGGTACTGGGTGGAGAGTGGCTAGTGGTGACTGTTTAACAATCTGATGGCCTTGCGATAGAAGCTGTTTTTCAGTCTCTGGGTCCCAGCTTTGATGCACCTGTAATGACCTCACCTTCTGGATGGTAGCGGGGTGAACAGGCAGTGAGTGGCTCAGGTGGCTGAGATCCTTGATGATTTTCTTGGCCTTCCTGTGACACCGGATGCTGTAGATGTCCTGGAGGGCGGGCAGGTTGCTCCCGGTGATGCTTTGGGCAGACCGCGCAACACTCTGGAGCGCCATACAGCCCAACAGGATGCTTTCGATGGTGCATCTGTAGAAGTTTGTGAGGGTCTTAGGAGCGAGGGCGAATTTCTTCAGCCTCTTGAGGTAGAAGAGGCACTGTTACGCCTTCTTCACCACACTGTCTGTATAGGGTATATGTTGTGAAATTGTTAGATATTACTTGTTAGATATTACTGCACTGTCGGAGCTAGAAGCACAAGCATTTCGCTACACCCGCAATAACATCTGCTAAACACGTGTATGTAGCAAATATAATTTGATTTGATTTGTATCACAGTCTTATTAAGTGTATGTTCACCAATAAAGTAGTTATCTGTGCTATTAGGAAAAGACAAATGCGAGCGTTAGTTTCGTTTTTTTACATACCTTAACTAAAGTGTCACCCCATAACAACTGGGCACGATTTCAGAAAGGAAGTGCTACCATAGACATACAAAATGTGAACACCGCTGCAATTCCATATGGTAACACAAGAGGTCACTATAGACCACAGTAAAAGCGGTGTGACGTCACGAATTTAACTTCAAATGCCCTAAAAATCCTCTCATCTCTCGCCGGGTGCAGTGGCGTGCGCCTGTAATCCAAGTTGCTGGGAGGCTTAGGCTGGCGGATCGTTTGAGCTCAGGAGTTCTGAGCTCCAGTGGACTATGCCGATCGGGTGTCCGCACTAAGTTCGGTATCGATATGGTGCTCCTGGGGGAGCCCGGGACCACCAGGTCGTCTAAGGAGGGGTGCACCGGCCCAGGTCGGAAACGGAGCAGGCCAAAGCCCCCGTGCCGCTCAGTAGTGGGATCGCGCCTGTGAATAGACGCTGTAGTGCAGCCTGAGCAATACAGCGGGACCCAGTCTTTTTGAGCAAAACGTTTTTGCTTTAGACATTGTATATCATAAGGAAAGTACTCCAGAAAGATATTCAATTAGTTTGTAACGATAATGTTCGCCCGTTTCTCTCTGATTTAGCCACGATGTTGTGAAAAACAGTTTTGGAGATGGGAGTCCCTCGACCGCCTCCTGTTGGTGCTCCGGCGTAAATACAACTGTTTTTCTGAACACTTCCTCGAGAGCTCCAGTAGTGGACGCTGTTGTAGTAAGCAATATCACGGTAAAGCAATAGCAACGTAAAAATAAAATGGGACTATAATTTCAATGGCGAAGGTGTATAAAGATGGAGGAATTCAGATATGACGTCATTTTTTTACCACTACCCACAGAGTTCTTAAACTACAGCAGGCCACATGGTTCAATGTGCCAATAAATCAGCACAATCTACCTCATCTTTTTTTTCCAAATTGCCGCCACCTTGGAGCAAGAATTGGGATCGATCATGTGTCCTGTGCTACTGACGATACAAAAAAAGAGTAATGGAGAGCACTGAGGCAAGTACCTGGGGGCCGCCATCTTTATGCATGCCCGCTTCCAGCATCTTCTGCACATCTATCAATCCAGTGTTAATCCTAAATTGTAATTATTTTGCACTATGGCCTACTTATTGCCTTACTTCCATAACTTACTACATTTGCACACACTGTATATAGATTTTCTATTGTGTTATTGACTGTACGTTTTTGTTTATTCCATATGTAACTCTGTGTTGTTGTTTTTTTTAATCGCACTGCTTTGCTTTATCTTGGCCAGGTCGCAGTTGTAAATGAGAAACCAAAACACACTACATGCCATAAACCTGTTTTATTAGCATTTCATTACAGGGCGTGGTCCTCAGGATGATAGAGTTCACTTATCAGCCGGTAGATGTAAGAGGGAGCGTTGCCTCCGATGTTAGAGATAAACAGAGTGATGAGTTCAGGAGGAACGTAGTCGAACACTGGGCAGTGCACGTTCACCTTGGACAGAATCTCTCCTATAAACAGATAAGAGTAAAGTCATGTGCAGTTTTTATTTTGAATACATTTTGTATAAAGCAATAAGACATTTTCCCCCTCAGAGACAAAGTGTATCCTATCCAGGGACATTAAACTGTATCCCGTCCAACACCTTGGACAGAATCTCTCCTACGGAGACAAGTAGGGACCTCTCAGATAGAGAAGGAACATCAGATGAGAGGAAGTAATCAGTGCACCTGTACACAGCCATTCTGAAATTAGCCCACCCAACTACCTCATCCCCATATTGTTATTTATTTTGCTAATTTGCACCCCAGTATCTCTATTTGCACATCATCTTTTGCACATCTATCATTCCAGTGTTAATTACGAAATTGTAATTATTTTTCACTATGGCCTATTTATTGCCTTACCTCCATAACTTACTACATTCGCACACACTGTATATAGATTTTCTGTTGCATGTTTGACTATGTTTTGTTTACCCCATATGTAACTCTGTGTTGTTGTTTTTAAATTGCACTGCTTTGCTTTATCTTGGCCAGGTCGCAATGTAAATGAGAACTTGTTCTCAACTGACTTACCTGGTTAAATAAATAAAAAATAGTATTCAGACCCCTTCCCTTTTCCCACATTTTGTTATGTTACAGCCTTATTCTAAAATGGATTAAATTATACATTTTCCTCAGTCTACACACAATACTCAATAATGACAAATCGAAAACAGGTTTATAGATTTTTGCAAATGTATTATAAATAAAAAACAGAAATACCTTACTTACATAAGTATTCAGACTCTTTACTATGAGACTCGAAATTGAGCTCAGGTGCATCCTGTTTCCATTGAGATTGAGATTGAGATATTTCTACAACTTGATTGGAGTCCACCTGTGGTAAATTCCATTGATTGGACATGATTTGGAAAGGCACACACCTGTCTATATAAGGTTGACAGTGCTTGTCAGAGCAAAAACCAAGCCATGAGGTCGAAGGAATTGTCCGTAGAGCTCCGAGACAGGATTGTGTCGAGACACAGATCTGGGGAAGGGTACCAAAAAATGTCTGCAGCATTGAAGGTCACAGTGGCCTCCATCATTCTTAAATGGAAGAAGTTTGGAACCACCAAGACTCTTCCTAGAGCTGGCCGCCCGGCCAAACTGAGCAATCGGGGGAGAAGGGCCTTGGTCAGGGAAGTGACCAAGAACCCGATGGTCGCTCTGACAGAGCTCTAGAGTTCCTCTGTGGAGATGGGAGAACCTTCCAGAAGGACAACCATCTCTGCAGCACTCCACCAATCAGTCCTTTATGGTAGTGGCCAGACGGAAGCCACTCCTCAGTAAAAGGCACATGACAGCCCGCTTGGAGTTTGCCAAAAGGCACCTAAAGGACTCTCAGACCATGAGAAACAAGATTCTCTGGTCTGATGAAACCAAGATTGAACTCTTTGGCCTGAATGCCAAGCTTCACGTCTGGAGGAAACCTGGCACCATCCCTACGGTGAAGCATGGTGGTGGCAGCATCATGATGTGGGGATGTTTTTCAGCGACAGGGACTGGGAGACTAGTCAGGATCGAGGGAAAGATGAACGGAGCAAAGTACAAAGAGATCCTTGATGAAAACCTACTCCAGAGCGCTCAGGACCTCAGACTGGGGCGAAGGTTCACCTTCCAACAGGACAACGACCCTAATCACACAGCCAAGACAACGCAGGAGTGGCTTCGGGACAAGTCTCTGAATGTCCTTGAGTTGCCCAGCCAGAGCCCGGACTTGAACCAGATCGAACATCTCTGGAGAGACCTGAAAATAGCTGTGCAGCAACGCTCCCCATACAACCTGACAGAGCTTGAGAGGATCTGCAGAGAAGAATGGGAGAAACTCCCCAAATACAGGTGTGCCAAGCTTGTAGCGTCATACCCAAGAATACTAGAGGCTGTAATCGCTGCCAAAGGTGCTTCAACAAAGTACTGAGTAAAGGGTCTGAATTCTTATGTAAATGTGATATTTCCATTAGTATGTTTTTTTTTTTTTACATTTGCAAAAACCTGTTTTTGCTTTGTCATTATGGGGTATTGTGTGTAGATTGATGAGGGGACAAAACTATTGAATCAACTTTAGAATAAGGCTGTAACGTAACAAAATGTGGAAAAAGGGGGTCTGAATACATTCCGAGTGCACTGTAGGTGAGAAAAATATTTGCATGTTTACCTTCTGTGAACGGAAGCACCTCATGTGGGGAGACAAACTTATGGAACGTGTCTTCTTCATTGGGAAACTGAGAACACAAAATCCAACCAGTCAAGTCACACAATGACGAATATACCAGAAGACAACGTCATAGTCTGCCAGTGTTTGGCCTCGCCTATCACCTATCAGTGAAGCAGGGCTCACTGATACAAACTTCTATCCAGAAAGTCATTATTCTGTTCCTAATGAGTGTTGTCGTGGATACCTGAGGGGAGAGCTTGAACATGGGAGCACAGACGATGAGCGGAGTAGAGTGGTGCTTGGCTGCCAGAGCTACGGTGTGGGTTCCATTGACCGCCCGGAGACCGCCATTGGCCAGAACGGTCTGTGTTCCGATGATGACCTGGTGAGAGGACAACCAATAGGAGGAGCAGAATCAAACCAGTTTAGTTGCATTGACAATAGACAAGCTTCCTCTAGTGAAGAAAGACTTCTTAAATTCCTTATTGTTAAGTAAAGACTTCTTAAATTCCTTATTGTTAAGTAAATCAGAGAGCGGTTCTGATTAAACAAGACCGGAAATAAGCATTTGACGTTGTGCTTTTAAACGCTTGAATTAAAAACGTCTCTATATTACTACCTCTTTTTATGTTCTGTCTGTTAAAGGAAATCACAAAATAAAGCACCATAACAGTAAATGTGTAAAACTCACCTTATTGACCCTGGACATCACTGCAAATATGGCGGCATCGGCTATTACAGTGGTCTCGATGCCGGTTTTGGAGAGATTAGTAGCCATTTCATGACCCTTGGGAATGAGGCAAACAAAGGATCATTACTACAGTGTGTTGCCTAAATGTAATGTTCATTATTCAATAACACATGTACAAACATTTTAAGAGACAGTCGATTCATTAAATATGATTTATCTATTTCAGCATCTTCAGAGAATTAATGCAAGGTTAGGGACCGTCTGTAAAGGTGCCATCTTTATCAGCATCATAAACGCTGATACCATTTCAACCATATCAAATATGCATCCAAGCCGAACTGAAATCATATCAGAAACATGTTGGGTCATTTTCAGCTATTAATTCCCTTAAAACCACTCAAACTGATGTCATTTGGAAATTTTGCACGAAAATTCTTTCCTGGTTTTTTTATTCACATATTGCATTTTCTCCCGGTCCCTAAACGTATTTGCCGTGAGAGAGAAGCAGAGCTGAAAAAGAAAACTTTACCCTTTGCCACTAGATTGAAGCATTCATTCTATTGATGTAGGACATATTACTTGTTGCACTAGAAGACAAAAAAAATGACAGAAGAGAATCTGCATGTATCTAATTATAAACAAGTCGGGCAGGTGCGGATGATCAAACAGCTTACCCGCGCATCACTACCACGAGACCCAACCTGTTGCTGGCAGCAGTGCGATAAGGGGACGGAGTGAGAAAACCACAGTGCTTATTACAGAAATTATTGCAGTTGATATGCAGCCATTGTCAATGGTAGAAGATGTCTGCTTCAATGCCCTGATGGCATATCTAGAAGCAGACTACTAGATGCCATGTCAAAAAACCGTGAGGCCTTAGATGGAAGAATTGTACACCGATTGCTCTGCAAGTACAAAGTTCAAGCTCTCAAACACCAAACGTGGCGTTAACAACAGGTTGTTGGACGTTCATGAACACGCTGTCGTAAATCACTGCAATGAGCCATCACATGGATGAGGAGTGGGACAGGAAGTCCCATGTACTGAGAACATGGAGGACAGGAAGTCCCCTTTACTGAGCACTGAGAACATGGAGGAGAGGAAGTCCCCTTTACTGAGAACATGGAGGAGAGGAAGTCCCCTTTACTGAGAACATGGAGGAGAGGAAGTCCCCTTTACTGAGAACATGGAGGAGAGGAAGTCCCCTTTACTGAGAACATGGAGGAGAGGAAGTCCCATGTACTGAGCACTGAGAACATGGAGGAGAGGAAGTCCCATGTACTGAGCACTGAGAACATGGAGGAGAGGAAGTCCCCGTTACTGAGAACATGGAGGAGAGGAAGTCCCCTTTACTGAGAACATGGAGGAGAGGAAGTCCCCTTTACTGAGAACATGGAGGAGAGGAAGTCCCCTTTACTGAGAACATGGAGGAGAGGAAGTCCCATGTACTGAGCACTGAGAACATGGAGGAGAGGAAGTCCCATGTACTGAGCACTGAGAACATGGAGGAGAGGAAGTCCCATGTACTGAGCACTGAGAACATGGAGGAGAGGAAGTCCCATGTACTGAGCACTGAGAACATGGAGGAGAGGAAGTCCCCTTTACTGAGAACATGGAGGAGAGGAAGTCCCCGTTACTGAGAACATGGAGGAGAGGAAGTCCCCGTTACTGAGAACATGGAGGAGAGGAAGTCCCCTTTACTGAGAACATGGAGGAGAGGAAGTCCCCTTTACTGAGAACATGGAGGAGAGGAAGTCCCCTTTACTGAGAACATGGAGGAGAGGAAGTCCCCTTTACTGAGAACATGGAGGAGAGGAAGTCCCCTTTACTGAGAACATGGAGGAGAGGAAGTCCCCTTTACTGAGAACATGGAGGAGAGGAAGTCCCCGTTACTGAGAACATGGAGGAGAGGAAGTCCCCGTTACTGAGAACATGGAGGAGAGGAAGTCCCCTTTACTGAGAACATGGAGGAGAGGAAGTCCCCTTTACTGAGAACATGGAGGAGAGGAAGTCCCCTTTACTGAGAACATGGAGGAGAGGAAGTCCCCTTTACTGAGAACATGGAGGAGAGGAAGTCCCCTTTACTGAGCACATGGAGGAGAGGCACAACAGAGAACCTAAAACGGCATTAACTACCATCGTTGCTGAGTGGGTGGGGGACGTCTGGTAGGTAGCCAGGACAGCAGTTAGGTGAGCTCTGTCTGGTAGGTAGCCAGGACAGCAGTAAGGTGAGCTCTGTCTGGTAGGTAGCCATGACAGCAGTAAGGTGAGCGCCGTCTGGTAGGTAGCCAGGACAGCAGTAAGGTGAGCTCCGTCTGGTAGGTAGCCAGGACAGCAGTTAGGTGAGCTCTGTCTGGTAGGTAGCCAGGACAGCAGTAAGGTGAGCTCTGTCTGGTAGGTAGCCAGGACAGCAGTAAGGTGAGCGCCGTCTGGTAGGTAGCCAGGACAGCAGTAAGGTGAGCTCTGTCTGGTAGGTAGCCAGGACAGCAGTAAGGTGAGCACCGTCTGGTAGGTAGCCAGGACAGCAGTAAGGTGAGCGCCGTCTGGTAGGTAGCCAGGACAGCAGTAAGGTGAGCGCCGTCTGGTAGGTAGCCAGGACAGCAGTAAGGTGAGCGCCGTCTGGTAGGTAGCCAGGACAGCAGTAAGGTGAGCGCCGTCTGGTAGGTAGCCAGGACAGCAGTAAGGTGAGCGCCGTCTGGTAGGTAGCCAGGACAGCAGTAAGGTGAGCTCTGTCTGGTAGTTAGCCAGGACAGCAGTAAGGTGAGCTCTGTCTGGTAGTTAGCCAGGACAGCAGTAAGGTGAGCTCTGTCTGGTAGGTAGCCAGGACAGCAGTAAGGTGAGCTCTGTCGGGTAGTTAGCCAGGACTGAGGTAGATTGAACAGCATTGCCCCCTAGCGGTCATACGCAGGACCATATCTGTATTGTGAAATCATGTCATTTTATGTTATTTTTTTATTTTTATCATTTAACACTAGAACCACTAAAGCAGTCATTTTGACTGTTCATTAATTTTATTTTTGTATTACTCTTGATAATAATAATAATAATAAGCCATTTAGCAGACGCTTTTATCCAAAGCGACTTACAGTCATGCGTGCATACATTATTTTATTTTTTTGTGTATGGGTGGTCCCGGGGATCGAACCCACTACCTTGGCGTTACAAGCGCCGTGCTCTACCAGCTGAGCTACAGATTGACATTTTTTTTTAAAAGTCATACCTCCCTCCGTCCTTGACTTCTCCTAAATAAATCTATTTAACACACTGACGTTAGAATCTTAATATCACAAACAGAACTGGAGTTAGAACCAGTTTCATGAGGGCATGTCATTTTTCTGAATGGGTTTTCCCCAGTTGCCCCTCCTACTCCCGATAGTAGGGCCTGCTACACTCCTACTCCCGACAGTAGGGCCTGCTACACTCCTACTCCCGATAGTAGGGCCTGCTACACTCCTACTCCCGATAGTAGGGCCTGCTACACTCCTACTCCCAACAGTAGGGCCTGCTACACTCCTACTCCCGATAGTAGGGCCTGCTACACTCCTACTCCCGATAGTAGGGCCTGCTACACTCCTACTCCCAACAGTAGGGCCTGCTACACTCCTACTCCCGATAGTAGGGCCTGCTACACTCCTACTCCCAACAGTAGGGCCTGCTACACTCCTACTCCCGATAGTTGAAGGGGGCGGCAGGTAGCTTAGTGGTTAAGAGCGTTGTGCCAGTAACCGAAAGGTCGCTGGTTCTAATCCCCGAGCCAACTAGGTGAAAAAATATGTTGATGTGCCCTTGAGCAAGGCACTTAACCCTAATTGCTCCTGTAAGTCGTTCTGGATAAGAGCGTCGTGTAAATGTAAAGGTGCCCCGATAATTACCTTCAAAACTGAACCTAAAACACACCCAAATAAAATGTCACAGATATAACAACAGACGGTAGAACTGAAGTAAAGCATGATGGGTAGAAATGAAGTAAAGCATGATGGGACGATGGGTGAGTTGATGAGCGACGGGGAAGCAAATGATGCATAATTATGTAAATCACCCCTTGTGAATGAAGAACAGGGGCGGGCCATTGTATTGTATTGGTATATTCTAATTATAAATATTACAGTGTGCATGTACCCTGTATCGGAGTACACAGTGAAAGAACGCGTAATTTACAAATGTCAAGAAGACCAAGAACGAATGGATGCACATGCTGCGTTAACGATCCTACAAGATCTGAATGAAAAACGACTCCGATGGTGGGGAAGAAATTAGTCATGACATCTCCGATGATTCTGATTCTAAGCCTCAGCCTGAACCTACACCGTCGAGGCCTACGCGCAAAAAAAAGCCAGAACGGTGTGCACTGAGCAGGTGCCCGCGCCGCCACCAAATGAAAGCCGATGACAATACTACGGGCCGATCATCAGCACAAAATGTCATCACTGAGAGAGCAGGCCCTACATCTCAAGCAATACGCAACAGCAGCAACGCACTCACCAGCTTTGGTTGCTTTATGTGACATGGACATGCTACAGCACATCAGGGACTGGACTGGGGCTGGGGGGTTCAGGGAGCAAGGAAACCCTGCCTGGGGTCAGGGACTGGACTGTGGCTGAGGGGTACAGGGAGCAAGGAGACACTGCCTGGGGTCCGTCTGTTGATGAAGGAAACACTGCCTGGGGTCCGTCTGTTGATGAGCTGGAAGCGTTCATTTCAATCCTGCATGTCCGTGGAGCATTCGGTGGATAGAGCGTGTGTATGGAGACCTTCCGGTCACACATGTATGGGATACCTTTCTTTGGAGAAACCATGTCACGGGATTGCTTCAGAGAGATCATGTGTTACCTCCGCTTTGATGACAAAGAAATATGGAAACGGACACATTCACCATGGTGTCCAACGCTTGGAACAAGTATAGACAATAATTGACTGCTGTCATTATCAACACTTAAATATATTAATTATGCCATTATTGCTTTTGTGCTGATTTTCACTATTTATCAAGCACACTTGGCGCTTATAATGACCTTTAGGCTACTGATGTTTTCCTTTGTGGTATTTTATCGTTATAAAAAGAAGCTGTTCCAACACATACAGTTTGCTTTCTGTTTCATAGTTACATTTTTAATTTTAGTCATTTTAGCAGACGCTCTTATCCAGAGCGACTTACAGGAGCAATTAGGGTTAAGTGCCTTGCTCAAGGGCACATCGACAGATTTTTCACCTAGTCGGCTCTGGGGATTTGAACCAGCGACCTTTCGGTTACTGGCACAACGCCCTTAACCACTAAGCTACCTGCCGCTTATAATGACGTTTAGGCTACTGATGTTTTCCTTTGTGGTTGGGGGTATTTTGACGTTATAAAAAGAAGCCGTCACCGTGTTCCAACTCATACAGTTTGCTTTCTGTTTCATAGTTGTGACAAAAGGCACTCCACTAATAACGTTGAGTGAACACTTGAATTGTTTTGTTTTTCCATATAGCCTACATTAACATAAACTAATGAAATTGCTACTGTATTATAAAAAATAAATAAATAAATAAATAAATGTATTCCAATGTTACCTAACACCTTCATAAACACAACCAAATGATTATTTTTTGCAATTGTATATATGAAATGTATTAATACACTGTTAGAATGTTGCAGTCAGAATGACTTCTCGTTAGCGTGAAGAGGGGTCCCTCGAGGCCCAGCGGTTCTAGTGTTCAACATTTAAACCATTTTTAAAAATGGCAGTTTAAACTTTAAGAACCTTTTACATTTGTCACATCCCTAGCTCCCATGTGTGTTCCTTCTATGAATATACAGAAGTGGGATAGAGGAGGGATGGAGGGATGGTGGGAGCGAATGAGGGATGAAAGGATGGAGGAACGGTGGATACCTGGCAGAAGGGAGCACACTCGGCCACGATGACGTGGAACTTGCGTTTCCTCGCTGCGTCTTTGAGGAAGGCCTCGACGGTGCGTGAGCGGCCGACAGTCATGATGACCTCGTTGGAGTGGATGTGCTCCAGGGCCTGCATGGCGATGTTGTCTGTGGTGCCCTCTGGGAGAAAGAAGAAGAAGACAGTTAGCTCAGTGCTGCTTGACCATGGTTATACCCATGGGGATGTGTATAGTGTAAAAACCAACAGAGAAGATTGGTTTAAACTAAAGGAGACTTAGTTTGAATCATTTTAAATTTCAGCCACAACCAACTATTGAACTATGGCCTCAATAGGTCTATGAAGGAGATGGGGAAAGAGAGAGACTGTTGGTGGAGTATCTGTGTGCTCTAAGACAGTGTTTCCCAACAATACACAAGTTTGTTGTAGCCCGGACAAACATAACCGATTCAACTCATTGAGGGCTTGATGATTAGTGTGTGCTTGTCCGGGGCTACATACAAAAAAAAAAAGTGTACTTTGGGGGGTACTGGAGGACCAGAGTTGGGGAAACACTGCTGTAAGTGAATGTGTCTTACCTAGCTCTGTGAGGAGTTCATTGATAGCCTCTATGACGTTAGCTTTGAGAGGAGCAAAGTGTTGTCTGAAGTTCTCCTCGCTCAGCCCCCCTGAGGTCAGCAACTTGTGAAGGGACTCCTGCTGGTCTGCCTCCTCACTGCTACCACGAGACCTGGGGACACAAACACACTTACCATGACAGGAGAGAAAACAACTGGGGAAAAAAGCTCCTCACATTTCCAACTGTTGCATCATTTGGCACCTTGCCCTTGGCAACTAGTCTTGCGAGGTCCACAGAACACAACAAGCAAGGTTAGCAACAAGTAGCAGACGCTCAAACAACTTTAGTAATTTGTGGATGTTGCTTGTTCATAAACTCACCTGGCATACTCCTCCCTGATGATCTTGAGTACGCGCAGTACCATGTTGCCCACGGTGGTCTCGGACGGCTGTGCGGCCGTCATTCTCCTCCCCTCCTTGCGAATGATTTCCATTAGGTCGCCTATCATCAAATACAGGAGGATATCTTTGTCATACATCATTCCTAGTAGTGAATTATATTCAGACATCGCTTAGTCACACCAATTGATCCGTTTCAAAATTACAGATGAGACGACATCAGCCTATCGTGGCAGTTCACATTTTGACAGCTAGCTACTCTAACAGGTGTCAATAGAAAACTACAGTAGACGTTAAATCGATTTGAAAAAAACCGTGGCAGAGACTACCTAACGTTAGCTAGGAGGCAAACTAGCTAGCTAACTAACTAACTAACTACCCGGTAGCTGAGCTTTCGAATAAGCTAGACTTCTGCTATTAACTATAAACGTTAGCTAGCTAGCTACCTGCGTTGCTCCATCGTGCCTGGGATGTTATTTTCCGGAGAAGAGCTGTGGTTTCTCTAGCGGTTTCTCCCGACCCTCGGATCGGTCCTGTCCCACAACCTCCCCGCTTCAAATCAGCCAGAAAAGCCTCAATTCGCTCTGTCAAATCTGCTTCCTTGTCAGCCCCGGGCATACTTGTTTTCTGAATTCACCAGCTAGCTAGGCGCTGTATCAAAACAATTTGGTGTTTTCACCATAGAAAATGATAAAGGCCTCTAGTGGCCAAAAGGCAACTTTAGCATGGGCAGCGCCATTAAGGGTTTCCGCCATTTTAAAGTAGTCAACTGTGTGGGGATTCCGATGGGTTGTAGCCTCAATGGCGCTGACAATGCTGTTACAGATGCTATAATGACACGTATGTAAAGAGGAGTCCTCTATCTATCTCTATGGTTGTAACATATTTGCATAGGGAAGTGACGTAAACCGGAACTAGATTGCGCGTGGAGGAGGGTGCTTCCGGGATATTATACTAATCCGACGCTGATTGGACCAAGTGATTAGAACCACATCTTGCAATATTTTCAGATTTCATAAAAATAGATTTCCCCATCAGCTGTTGCATAAAATAGACATTGTGCCATTACAAGCGATTCGCTACACCCGCTATAACATCTGCTAAACACGTGTATGTGACAAATAAACATTTGATTTTGATTTAATTTCTAAAAGATGTCATGACCTACAGTAAATCAAAACAACTGTTCCCAAGGATATTATTCACATATGATAGACAGTAGGTGCCAGTATGTCCCTTAGTGATCATACACATCTACAAGCAACACGTTTGTAAATCCATCCAATATTTTATTGAATAAAAGCCCAACACAAACTTTTACAAATTGATATCAACATAGAAATCATTGATTGAAAACATTGCAAATGTTCACTGTTAAAAAATGTATGTATCCCACATAGTTTTCGTAAAAAATCGCTTTGGTGCTATTTTCACAAGTATGTGGTGAATTTTCTAATCTCTTAATACAAACTCCAAACTGGTAACGCTTGTAATGCAGCCAGTCTTACATTCAAACCCTTTCAATGTGAATTGATTTGGTTTGTAGACATCGTTCACCACACAACCATTAATCCAAAATATAAATTTACTGTGAAATATGAGAATATTGGTTTAATCACCAAAACACAACATAATGACATCTTCTCAATTTAATTATTTTAACCAGTTAATCCAAACGCATAAAAACTTAAAGATACGTTTCAGTTTGCTATTTGAATGTAGTATGCTACAGTACTGTAAATTACAGTACATTACACTGTTTCACATTCGGCAATACACTTGTACTACCCATTAAAATGTACTGAACATAAAATGTCCATAACTTCTATCCCATTTGTGATCGTTGAAGACATGTAATCAAACGAAGGAAATGAAAGAAACCTAATTTGCATCAAACCTGTCTGGACCATTCGGCCATAGGTTCTCATTGACATCACAGTAAATATCCTAATTGTTCATGCACGTGGCCTGATATAGGTCTGGATTGAAATCATTGCATGCCTCATCCATGGCCTGACGGAGGGTGGTATGCTCATGGGGATGGCGGTCATACATCTTCCACCTGTATCGTAATCGTGTATTGTGTTTTACAGTATTGTATTTATGTGTTGTAGTGGTCCTGTACGTGTCTCAGTTCATAAGAGCATGGCACTAGCTAAACCAGTGTTGTGGGTTCGATTCCCACTGGGGTCACATACCAAAAAAATGTGGACTGTTGTCACTTTGGATAAAAATGTCTGCTACGTAAATGGCATTTGTTACAGAACTGTATTACCCAATGCAATTTTAGTGAAGCATTTATTTATTGTTTTGGACTTTCTGGATTATTTGCGTATTGGTATTGCACTGTAGGAGCTAGAAACTCAAGCATTTTGCTGCATAGTCATTGTAGTACATTTGAGTATATATATATATATATATAGCATACTTTTTATGTTTCTACTTTACGGACATCCATTTTCATTATTTAGTTCTCAAAATCTGTAGTAGACAAACCAGTTGACATGTAAAATCTATCCGTTTACCAAACGTTCTATAGGTTTACCAAACGTTTAAGTGATCAGTGATTAAGAGCAGTTGGATTAAGTAATAGTAAAATGTATTTTAACAAAAGTAATGTGAGCATTGCATTGTGAAAGGCAATTACTTTATATTAACATGTATTGCAATGTGAAACTTATTTCTAAATGAAACACTGATTAAGTTTGGTGATAGAGTGACTGTGATTTTGTGTTGTACTTTAGTCAATTGAAAATGTGTTTAGAGTTTTGAAACAACTGGCTTTTTGATGATCTGTTTTGTACTAAGAGTTTTGGAAATGTACCACATACTTGTGAAAACTGCACCAAAGTATTTTTAAAAAATGTAATTAGATTATGCAGTAGTGTAAGTGACAAAAACTAGCTGGACTATCTTTCAACCAACCCCAAATCCTCATGTAACCCAAACCCCAGAACTATCTTTTAACCAACCCCAAATCCTCATGTAACCCAAACCCCAGAACTATCTTTTAACCAACCCCAAATCCTCATGTAACCCAAACCCCAGAATTATCTTTCAACCAACCTCAAATCCTCATGTAACCCAAACCCCAGAATTATCTCAAAAAGAAAGCTGGATGGATCTTGGATGGTAGGTGTGGATTCAATGGGTCTCAAAAGAGGAAGAGAAGTCATTTTCAAAAGGCCCTACTTGGCTTATAACATATTCAGATCTTTTGTACATCTTTTAAAAACAACTTAAAAGCGTGCAATGGTTCTGCTAGAAATGACCTAGTTTTCAAGATTATATTTATTGCATCTCAAATAGCACCCGATTCCCTATATAATAGTGCAGTACAAAAGTAATGCACTAGGCCTATATAGGGAATAGGGTGCTATTTGAGACAACCACTCTTTCCCTGAACTTATGAAACCCCCCTCCCCCAAAATACCTGCCCTGCATTTACAATATCAAAACAAACTGAAAGAAACTATCAAATTTAGCTAGCAAACATGTATGCAAATTAATTAACTGACAAAACACAAAAGTTCAGTGGTTGCCATAGTTTCTCTTTCGAGTTATAACACATTCCACCTGCTGTTCATAGAAGCCTTCACTTAAAAAAGGGCACCAAGAATATAGTCTATAGCCCAAATGGCACCCTATTCTCTAAACTTGTGCACTACTTTTGATCATGGCCCATAAGGCTCTGGTCAAAAGTAGTGCACTCTATAGGGAATAGGGTGCTATTTGGGCCAAACCCTACATCCAATAGCTCACTTGGCATGGCAAAGATTTTGTACAACAATAAAGGGCAATAGACGAGGGTGCATCCATTCATCCCAACAAAATTAAACTCCAAATCAAACTATACACAAAATGACAACCGATCATCAAAGCATCAGGTGCTTATTCAGCAGGATGCAAAAGTTGAAAACAAATTGCAGATAGAAATAGAACACAGAACAGACATGCATGTCTCACTCATGGATGTATATTCTACATTTTGTATATTTCTACCTGTATTTTTTTTGTGTATTTTTTTTAAAAATGTTTCACTCCGCTGAATGTGTCCCAGGTGTCCATGGCTTTCAGAGAATAGGCAACCCTTTGGTGCCCTCTCACACCACCACGCCCCTGAAACCTCGCGCTGCTCAAACCCTTTGTCGTCATTACTGGGTACGTCCAAAAACGCCACCTTATTCGATATATACAGTGCACTACTTTTGACCAGAGCCTATGGGGGCTCAGAGCCTATGGGGGCTCTGGTAAATAGTAGTGCACTATACAAGGAATATGGTGGCATTTAGGACACATAAATATGAATTATACGAGGCCTTCTGCGCTCTTTTAAGGTCCTTACTACTGAATAGTGCTGGTTCCAGGTGAGTAAGGGTCAACATAAGAATACTGGAAGAGATGGAGACCGGCACACTGTCCAATAAAAGGACTACAATTATTCCTGTTTTGCCTCAGATTTGGATTTATTCATTTTTTTTGACAGCGTGCGGATCTCTAGCTCTTCCAGCTATTTCGGACACAGCTATACATTTGCTGAAGTTAGTCCGAGGAGGGTGGAGGTTGGTCGGGTAGCATTGGCTGCTCCCCCCCCTGGGCGGAGAGGTGATGCCTCTCTACTCGATGAGCTTCTTTGCCTTGAAGAAGCGTCGTAGGTAGAAGACCTGCCAGGTGGCCAGGCCAATCAGACAGCACATAGAGAAGATGCTGAAGTACAGGACGCGTGTGTTGGTGGACTCTGGAAGAACATAGTTAGAAATATTATAGAAGTGACTTGTTCTGTCTTGCTTGCTTTTTTTCTTTGAATTAATTTTGTATTTCTTTGTAAAGTTCCACAAGAATCATGCATGTATTGACAACAACGGGAGGTTTGTGTTTAAATTGGAGTTGCACAGTCCTTTCTCACGTTAGAATAAATGATGGCACTACTTTATCAGTTTTTACCATTGGTGTCCCTCATCTCCTCCTCTCTCTTCTTCATGTAGGCAAAGTCGTTGACGATGGACTCTGATAGGTCTTCCAGCCGCCTTAGCTCCACCTCCAGGGGCTTCAGCTTCTCCACCTTGGCGATCTGAGTGGACAAAAGAGACAATCAAATCAACAATGCAACACCACAATCCATCCCATGTCCGTAAGTGTTTATTGGATTTTGATCTCAAGATGTTTGATGGACAATGGTGCAGGAGCAAATTGATTCAATTGTGTTAAAAGTTGGGGACTATTTGCACTGACCCCCCGACCCCCCCCCCCTCTTTTACGCTGCTGCTACTCTGTTTATTATTTATGCATAGTCACTTTAACTCTACCCACATGTATATATTACCTCAATTACCTCGACTAGCCGGTGCCTCCGCACATTGACTCTGTACCGGTACCCCCTCTATATAGCCTCCCTACTGTTGTTTTATTTTACTGCTGCTCTTTAATTATTAGCTTTTATTTTTTTACTTAACACTTATTTAACTTTTTAACAAATTTTTAAACTGCATTGTTGGTTAAGGGCTTGTAAGTAAGAATTTCACTGTAAGGTCCACACCTGTTGTATTCGGCGCATGTGGCAAATACAATTTGATTTGAAATGTGAGTGGTCCTCTGTAGTTCAGTTGGTAGAGCAAGGCACTTACAATGCCAGGATAGTGGGTTCGATTCCTGGGACCACCCATATGTAAAATGTATGCATCCATGACTGTAAATCACTTTGGATTAAAGTGTCTGCTAAATGGAATATATTATTATTATTAGAACCTTGGACTGTGCTGTGCTATGACCCCGTTTGTCCAGTAGGGGTCACTCTCGAGCTGTGCAGCAGTGACAGACTGCAGCAGAGGACAGTTTTTAATTAGTTCCAACATGAACAGGAACACATAGCGCAATCTGTCTGGTATGCAGAACGCTCTACCCCTCCTCCTGCTTTAGTTTGGCAAACGTTCTGATTCCCAAGCAGAGAATCTGGTCCCACAAACTACAACTTTAAAGGGATGTGATCTGATCAGCAGCGGTTGGAACACAAATTATTTTCCACTCGTTTCGTTCTGAACAAACAGAACCATTATTATTTTTGTTCCGTTCCAGTTCCGACCAGCAAAATAAAAAGTTCTGAACCGGTTCGAACCATCAACAAAAAAAATACTTGGTCTATATCGTTCCTTTTTAAACCTCTGAAACATGAATATTTTTTTTTTACATTTAGCTCGACATTAAATTAGTTCACCAATCAGTGAGCAGCTTGCTGTGGAGCAGGTAAACGACTTAATCTGTATAGGAAAGTCGTTAAGAGCAAATAGTATTTTGCCGTAACAGCATGGTTGAATCATAATGGAAGACAAACACACACTGTGCTGGCAGTCACAGTGTAGGGCGTGTGGTGCAACTGCCATTCTTAGGGTAGGGAGAGAGGGTGGAGGAGGCTTGCCTTGAAGCGCTGGGCATCTTGTGATGACATGCATTATCTGAATTAGGCCCACAGAATTATACCTACGGAGGAACGGCTTCTATGAAGGACCTTTGAATGTCTTTGAACTGCAGAGAGTTGGTTTAACGTTGGATCAGAGCAAACGTTAGCTAGCTAGCAAGCTTCTGTGTTCAGAGCAGCACTAGAATTAATAAAAACACGCCTTACCTTTTTGTAGTTAATAAATCCAACGTGAAACGTGATAACTATAGTATCCTTAACTAGCACTGACAAAAAGTTAATCCCACATCTCTCCCTAATTCCTGAATCACTCTTGTAACGTCAGTAGTCTACAGTAGTGCTTCACACTCACACAGGGGAGGATTTCCAGCTGGCAGGCAGACACTGGAGGAAGTTTTAGTGGCAGAGTGAGGGCTTTGCATAGGCACTTTGTTTGCGAGAAAAAATTCCCACACTTAAAATAACGTTATTAAAATGTTTCCCATGCTTTTAAAATAATGGTTCTGTTCCGGAACAGTATAGATCACATTCGTTTTCGGGGCTCTGTTCCTCAAATGATTTCTTTATTTTCCGGTTTTCGGTTCTGTTCCCTGAACCGGTTCCAACCCTTTGCTTATCGGGACAGCATAGAAAATCAGCAAAACAGGATTTGGGCTAGGGGATAAGTCAGTTTCAGAGGCCAATGTCAGAAAAACAGGAATCCCTGATTCATCAGAAAAGTGACTTCTCATCTACCAACTCAATTAAATCGAGGGGGAGGGGGGGGTATTTGATCAAAAGAGAACAAGTGAAAATCTGAAGTTTGAGAGAAGGATATACTGATAGTTCTCACAGTAGCAAGACACTGCGTTGGCTTTAGACTAGACAGAGATTCTAGCCAACTTTCATTTCCTACTTTCATTGCCAACTACCTTATATTCGAATACCACACACTGATGTTACGTACTTACACTACCGTTCAAAAGTTTGGTCCCACTTAGAATTTTTTTTAGTCCATTAAAATAACATCAAATTTATCAGAAGTACAGTGTAGACGTTGTTAATGTTGTAAATGTCTATTGTAGCTGGAAACGGCTGATGTTTTAATGGAATATCTACATAGGCGTACAGAGGCCTATTATCAGCAACCATCGGTGCTGTGTTCCAATGGCACGTTGTGTTTGCTAATCCAAAATTTATCATTTTAAAAAGGCTAATTGATCATTAGAAAAACCCTTTTGCAATTATGTTAGCACAGCTGAAAACCGTTGTGCTGATTAAAGAACAATACATGCTTCAGATACTCAACTAGTCTCAAGAAGGCCAGTTTTATTGCTTCTTTAAATCAGCACAACACACACACACATCGACGTATGTAAATACGCACACACAGCACAAGGGTTACCAGTAGCTAGTCCACACATTGTGCGTTTCCCCAAATTACACCCTATTCCCTATATATAGTGAACTACTTTTGACCAGGGGCCCATAAAGGCTCTTGTCTAAAGTAGTGCAGGGAACAGGGTGCCATTTGGGACACAGATAGAGCTGGAGTTCACTCAGTAGTCAGCAGAACAGTTTGCTACTGTTCACGAGACACCTTACAAGAAGCATTTTGTCAGATGAAAGGCTTCTACTCTACTCACCTCTTCATAGTTCTTGGCCTCCACGCCGTGCTTCATGTCCAGATTAACCAGCTGGTCTGGGACTCTCCCAGTTCCTGGGTGACAGAACAAACACCTTATTTAGTACATTTCCATGGATGGCTTTCCCTCAGCTCATTCAATAACAGCAAGCAATAAGAAGTTGTTAGGACTCGTTCCAGTCACACGGAGCGTGTTCAGCGGGACAAAATGTTTTGTTTTACGCTCAGACATGCTATGTAGAAATGTCTTATTTCTATCTGCAGCGTTCAGCTACTGAAGGTTGGGCCCTGCTGTAAACACTTTCCCCAATCCTCCGGTTTCTTGCACATCTTGGAACTGTTTGATGTACGGTTCCAAGATGACGTGGCGTCACACCCTGGGTTGGTCTGAACAGAACGAGCCTGTGTTTGTTGTATTGTGAAGAACATTTGACCCGCGACATACGCCACCGGAATTAACTCGTGATTCCTTTCGATGTGCACCAAAATGATGATCTGTTTCCCTGAATTACATGTGTAACACTGTAATATCGTATTTTATAACTTAGCTAGTCATGTTGGCAATAGAACAGGCTTTCAAATGATGCCCACCTGACCCTGATTGCCATTTTTGGATTGCGTAAACAACAACCGTAATTGTGTGATGGCGGTGATGCAGGGCTGTGTTCCAAACAAAACAACTACAAGAGTTCTTGCTCTAGTTCCTCAACGGAACAGCTAGGAGAGCTCAAAAAAGCAACTTATAGTTGAAGGCTCTTCTTTGAGTCATTAAAGTGCATTGAAATAAAATCAACAGTGTCATGTAATTCAGTCTTGTCAGGTGAACTGACACAAGACCTTTGGTTTAATAATTTTCCCATGATCTCCAAACTGTTCCCTTTCAAATTGCTAACATGGTTATGCATATGCTTTTCATATTTATTCTGTAAGAAACATCTCAATTTAGCCCTGGCTTTTTTTCGTTGGGTAACATTTAGAAGTTGTCCCCTTTTTTAGGTTTAAAAGAAGAAGTGATTCGTATAAGCTGGTTAGCATAGCTAGCACACAGAATACGGTGGTGGTAGTCAGTCGTGTTTAACTGCAATGCAGTTGATTGGTGACGATGACATGAACATGTATTGGGGGTTGACGTCCATACAAGCATTATAGTCCGAATTCTACCTCAACATAGTGTGAAATACACATATAAACAATAGCTTAAATGTGGGATAATTTTGCCGGGGGGCAATGAGGAGATTCGGGATCTTTCCCCATACACTGTACATGGAGTGGAATGTTAGCAAAACAGGTTCTAGATTTCTGGCCATAGATGTGGTAAAGAGGTCTATGGAACGAGTTCTTTACCGCATCTATGGCCAGAAATCTAGAACCTGTTTTTCTAACATTCCACTCCATGTACAGTGCATTCAGAAAGTATTGAGACCCTTTGACTTTTTCCACATTTTGTTACTTTACAGACTTATTCTAAAATACCCCCATAATGACAAAGCAAAAACAGGTTTTTAGAATTTTATGCTAAAATAAAAATATCACATTTACATAAGTATTTAGACCCTTTACTCAGTACTTTGTTGAAGCACCTTTGGCAGCGATTACAGCCTCGAGTCTTCTTGTGTATGACGCTACAAGCTTGGCACACCTGTATTTGGGGAGTTTCTCCCATTCGTCTCTGAAGATCCTCTCAAGCTCTGTCAGGTTGGATGGGGAGCGTCGCTGCACAGCTATTTTCAGGTCTCTCCAGAGATGTTCGATCGGGCTCTGGCTGGGCCACTCAAGTACTTTCAGAGACTTGTCCTGAAGCCACTCCTATGTTGTCTTGGCTGTGTGCTTAGGGTTGTTGTCCTGTTGGAAGGTGAACCTTCGCCCCAGTCTGAGGTCCTGAGCACTCTGGAGCAGGTTTTCATCAAGGATCTCTTTCCCTCGATCCTGACTAGTCTCCCAGTCCCTGCCGCTGAAAAACATCCCCACAACATGACGCTGCCACCATGCTTCACCGTAGGGATGGTATTGGCCAGGTGATGAACAGTGCCTGGTTTCCTCCAGACGTGACGCTTGGCATTCAGGCCAAAGAGTTCAATCTTGGTTTCATCAGACCAGAGAATCTTGTTTCTCATGGTCTGATAGTCCTTTAGGTGCCTTTTGGCAAACTCCAAGCAGGCTGTCATGTGCCTTTTACTAAGGAGTGGCTTCCGTCTGGCCACTCTACCATAAAGGCCTAATTGGTGGAGTGCTGCAGAGATGGTTGTCCTTCTGGAAGGTTCTCCCATCTCCACAGAGGAACTCTGGAGCTCTGTCAGAGCGACCATCGGGTTCTTGGTCACCTCCTTGACCAAGGCCCTTCTCCCCACGATTGCTCAGTTTGGCCAGGCGGCCAGCTCTAGGAAGAGTCTTGGTGGTTCCAAACTTCTTCCATTTAAGAATGATGGAGGCCACTGTGTTCTTGTGGACCTTCAATGTTGCAGACATTTTTTGGTACCCTTCCCCAGATCTGTGCCTCGACACGAAGCTCTACGGCCAATTCCTTCGACCTCATGGCTTGGTTTTTGCTCTGTAATGCACTGTCAACTGTAGGACCTTATATAGACAGGTGTGTGCCTTTCCAAATCATGTCCAATCAATTGAATTTACCACAGGTGGACTCCAATCAAGTTGTAGAAACATCTCAAGGATGATCAATGGAAACAGGATGCAGTTGAGCTCAATTTCGAGTCTCATAGCAAAGGGTCTGAATACTTATGTAAATGTGCAAAAATTTCAAAAACACTTCTCGCTTTGTCATTCTGGGGTATTGTGTGTTAGATTGATGAGAGAAAAAAATATTTCATTGATTTTACAACAAGGCTGTAACGTAACAATTTGAAAGAGTCAAGGGGTCTGAATACTTTCCGAATGCACTGTACTTCATGTAATGCTTAGCACGGAGTGGAATGATAACTCAAACAGACTAGTATCCAGGCTAAGTCAGCTACTAATTTGTTAACAATCTATCACAAGAGACTACTTGTGGAAGGAGTAATGCAGTTAGACTATCAATTACATTGAGTAGTGCCTGCTCCTTGCAAACATCTAGGTTAAGGAGTACCATCAATTTCCGTACCACAAAATAACAACTATACACATTGAGCATGTCCCAAATGGCACCCTATTCACCATTTAGTGCACCACTTTTGACCAGGGCTCATAGGGCTCTGGTCAAAAGTAGTGCACTTAAATAGGGAGTCATTTGGGACGCACTCTGACTTACCCATTGGGGACTTGCTCTCAAAGCACACTTCAAACATGTCATAATCCTCTGTCGTGAAGGCAAACTTCCCTTTCGTTGCATCTTCCTTTGAGTAGAGGGTGTGTCCTGACGAGTCTGTGATCTAAACAGGTGATAATAACAAAATGACATAATGGTAGAGATACATCAAGTGTTATGACAGCTGCTGCATCATGACAGTTGCTATGGGAAATGTTATGTTTACCCAATTGCGTGTAATGTAAACTCACACACAAAATAATCTAACTTGGTCAATAGGCAAATGATAGACATATTCTAACCCTGCATTCCCTTTGTTGACATCCACATGATACATCTTCTACAGCATGCTAACATAGCTAGCCTAGCTAGTACACGTATCACAGGGTGGATGGGGGAGCTAAGACTGACGTGTAACATCCTGAATGAATGCAACTCAACTGAAACTAAACATTAAAATGAGTTAGCAACACACTAACAGTTAGCTCTGATTTGCAACTTGCAATGCCTTTACACATGTAATACTATATGAACTTGGTTTGAGAAATGTACAATTCTGCTATTTCTATCAAAACCATTTCACAGGGCATGAACCAGGAAGGATCTGTCACAGGCCCAACCAGGCTAACGTTAGCTAGCTACGAACTAACAGCAGCTGTGAACAAGACGTTGAGCTAGTTAGCGAGCTAACTAGCTGTTATTGAAAGCAATTGTATATGGATAACTCGCTGCGTTATCATATCCACGTATTGTATTTCGTTGTGATAACGTTACTTCACATCGGGAAATGATATGACCAAACTACGTTTGGGCCTTCACTGCTAACAGTTAGCAGCTAACTAGCTTAGTTAGCTTAGCCCGGCAACCTCGGTATTGCCAGCATCATCAAACTCACCTTCAGGTTGGTTTTGGTGTTGGATTGTTCGCTGATTTCATATTCCCCCGTGACGAGCACGTCTTTGTGGATCTCTTCCCGTAGACATTTCCTTGAATTTACCGGTAGAAAGAAAGAAATCGAAAATACCGATTCAATGAGAACAGGTAAAAGCAGTAAGGCAGCGAACCGAGCCATGGCTACAAGCCGAATCAAACACGAGCAACAGCTAGGTCGCTACAGCTCCGCTAAAGAGCTCGTCTACACCTCGGAATTCTCCATAGCGCCGCAGCTGTCAAGGAGGGCTGCTGACATTTTGGTCTGTGGGATGGATGCAATGGATAGATAGATAGATAGATAGATAGATAGATAGATAGATAGATAGATAGATAGATAGATAGATAGATAGATAGATAGATAGATAGATAGATAGATAGATAGATAGATAGATAGATAGATAGATAGATAGATAGATAGATAGATAGATAGATAGATAGATAGATAGATAAGCCCATAATAAAGCGCCTATAAAATCAAATATATTCTAAAAACATTTGGGGGGTGCTTATATTTGTCAAGTGTGTAATGGAAATGTTTTTTTTTTGGCATATCCAAACTCCCCTTTAAACACCCACAGGGAGTGGGATCACAGCTCAAGTCACCATTGTACAGCACCAATTAGGTTTAGTGCCTTGCTCTAGGTCACAGCAACAGATTTTTCACTTGTCAACTCCAGTATTCAAACCAGCAACCTTTCGGTTATTGGCCGAACGCTCTAACCTCGAGGCTACCTGCCACCCTTTATCTGGCTAGGCCTGTATTGGCCTTATTTGAACATGTATTTCATCACTCTTCTGACAGTAGCTATGTGGCCTACCAATTAACTGAATAATTAATTAACCAAGTTTGGTGAAAAGTTGCATTTCATTTGATTACACAATGACCTAACTAACCAGACAGTACAGTAGCATCACACAACAGTCCGTATCACAGTTAATGGGGATTCTGAAGATCCCCAAAGCTATTATTTTGTTGTCAGCAGCAGCTCAGGGATTACCCAATTAGGATTGATGGAGCTGTCCGGTTTCCAGGGAAACCTCCCCTTCCGGATCCCCTGGAGACGACACAGCACTCCAGTCGGCCCGCTAAGAGCAGAGTCTGTCACTGAGTGAACACTAATCATTGGACAGCTAGAGCTGTTTCTCCTCCTGGTTTTACTGCTGTACGTCAATGCACCCCTCTGAATATGTCACTCTCACTGCCACTATTCTGAAATGCCATTACTCCTATATTTGATGGTATTCAACCTCTATTTATCCAGGTTAGTCTCACTGATTAAGATCAGATATATTTTACCACAAGAGGCCTGATATTCTGCTGCCAAAATTCCCTACATGAAATTGCAGTGACCTTCCATTTCCACCAGAGCCATAGATAAAGCTACTGACCTGCTTCTATAGAGCCATAGATAAAGCTACTGACCTGACTCTATAGAGCCATAGATAAAGCTACTGACCTGCCTCTATAGAGCCATAGATAAAGCTACTGACTTGCCTCTATAGAGCCATAGATAAAGCTACTGACCTGCCTATATAGAGCCATAGATAAAGCTACTGAACTGCCTCTATAGAGACATAGATAAAGCTACTGACATGCCTCTATAGAGCCATAGATACAGCTACTGACCTGCCTCCATAGAGCCATAGATAAAGCCACTGATCTGCTTCTATAGAGCCATAGATAAAGCTACTGACCTGCCTCTATAGAGACATAGATAAAGCTACTGACATGCCTCTATAGAGCCATAGATAAAGCTACTGACCTGCCTCTATAGAGACATAGATAAAGCTACTGACATACCTCTATAGAGCCATAGATAAAGCTACTGACCTGCCTCTATAGATCCATAGATAAAGCTACTGACCTGCCTCTATAGAGCCATAGATAAAGCTACTGACCTGCCTCTATAGAGCCATAGATAAAGCTACTGACCTGCCTCCATAGAGACATAGATAAAGCTACTGACCTGCCTCTATAGAGCCATAGATAAAGCTACTGACCTGCCTCTATAGAGCCATAGATAAAGCTACTGACCTGCCTCTATAGAGCCATAGATAAAGCTACTGACCTGCCTCTATAGAGCCATAGATAAAGCTACTGAACTGCCTCTATAGAGCCATAGATAAAGCTACTGACATGTCTCTATAGAGCCATAGATCAAGCTACTGACCTGCCTCTATAGAGCCATAGATAAAGCTACTGACCTGCTTCTATAGACCCACAGATAAAGCTACTGACCTGTCTCTATAGAGCCATAGATAAAGCTACTGACCTGCCTCTATAGAGCCATAGATAAAGCTACTGACCTGCCTCCATAGAGCCATAGATAAAGCTACTGACCTGCCTCTATAGAGACATAGATAAAGCTACTGACCTGCCTCTATAGAGACATAGATAAAGCTACTGACCTGCCTCTATAGAGCCATAGATAAAGCTACTGACCTGCCTCTCTGGTTTTCACCCGGGAGTGATAAGGGTAATAGAACGCTTATGACCTGTTACAACCTGTTGTGACCTGTTACGACCTGTTATGACCTGTTATGACCTGTTACGACCTGTTATGACTGGTTACGACCTGTTATGACCTGTTACGACCTGTTATGACCGGTTACGACCTGTTATGATCGGTTACGACCTGTTATGACCTGTTACGACCTGTTATGACCGGTTACGACCTGTTATGATCGGTTACGACCTGTTACGACCTGCTATGACCGGTTACGACCTGCTATGACCTCTCTAATCTCTGGTTCTATGGCAAATGTCATTATCCAAGCCAGAGGTTGAAGGATTATGACACCTCTCACAGGGAGTAGATGGTGGGATGACGTAATCCTGTTTCCACACCCTCCAGATAATTGCCCTCGCTATCTGAGACTGTGTCAGTGACCTTTGCCCTCCCTATCTGAGACTGTGTCAGTGACCTTTGCCCTCCCTATCTGAGACTGTGTCAGTGACCTTTAATGCTGGAGCTCCTGTACAAACAAACTACCACGGAGAGACTCTAGACATTGATACTGCATGTCACGCAGGATGAAGCAATGGTGCTGTGGATACTGTATATAATACATTTCAACAGCAGAAACCCATAGCAACTGTCATGATGCAGCAGCTGTCGTAACACGTGATGTATCTCTACCATTATGTCATTTTGTCATTATACATTTATATATGAGACATTACCAACTGTGGCCTGTGGTGTTTTTTTCTTAGTGCGTGACTCTATTTAATATAATCATCAAACAGAATACGTCACATGAGATGGCGATTACTACTTTGTCTAATAGAATTCATCTTGTCCTTTGTCAGATGAGGGAGCTACCGTGAAACTGAACGATCCAGGATGCTAAAGAATCACCCTTTTTTCTGCTCGACTCTCTTATATCTCACTCTCTCTTAGTCCACACTCTCCTTCGAGCTCTACTTGTACTCTCCCTCATCTTCTAATGCTCTCTCTCCTTCTCCTTTCGCTCCCAAGATGCATGAGCTCTCGTAACTCGTGATCATCTCATCCATCTTGCATCTTTTCGTCTCATAAAGAACTCCAACTTCGCCGGTACTGTCGTCTCTCGATTCTCCACTCTCAGTCATCCCAGTGCTCATCAATCTTGATCAAGAATCATCTGCCTCTTGCTGTGCATCGCGTCTGTCTCTCGAAACCTTCGACGTCCTCGAGTGCTTGCTTCTCATCTAGCTCGTCTTCTCTACTCATCGATCAGTCTCTCTCCTCAGTCTCTGACGTCTCTCACCTCCTCGATCTCCTACGTCTCTCCTCTCTCTCGTCCTCTCTCTCTCTCTCTCTCTCTCTTCCTCTCTCTCCTCTCTCTTCTCTCCTCCTCTCTCCTTCTCTCTCTCTCTCTCTCGTCTCCTATCTCTCTCTCTCCTCTCTCTCTCTCTTCTCTCTCTCACTCTCTTCTTCTCTCCCCTTCTCTCTTCTTCTCTACCCCTCTTTCTATCTCACTACCTCTCTCCCCCCCTCTCTCGTCTCAGTCAGACGCTACTGCCTGCTTCCTCCCCTGGGTTGCAGCATCGACGCAGGTTGGCGTCAGAGAGTTCTAATTTTACTGCTGTTGATGCTGATGTTAAAAGAAGCGCCGAGCACCTGCTATTCCTGCCTCCGCTTCTTCTCCCCAGGGCTGGCAAGGCATATTAATAGAGTCAAGAATAACACACTGATGGAGCTGAGGGAAATACGTATTAATAGAGTTATTAATAACACACTGATGGAGCTGAGGGAAATACGTATTCATAGAGTTATTAATAACACACTGATGTTGCTGAGGGAAATACGTATTCATAGAGTTATTAATAACACACTGATGGAGCTGAGGGAAATACGTATTCATAGAGTTATTAATAACACACTGATGGAGCTGAGGGAAAGACGTATTCATAGAGTTATTAATAACACACTGATGGAGCTGAGGGAAAGACGTATTCATAGAGTTATTAATAACACACTGATGGAGCTGAGGGAAATACGTATTCATAGAGTTATTAATAACACACTGATGGAGCTGAGGGAAATACGTATTCATAGAGTTATTAATAACACACTGATGGAGCTGAGGGAAAGACGTATTAATAGAGTTATTAATAACACACTGATGGAGCTGAGGGAAATACGTATTAATAGAGTTATTAATAACACACTGATGGAGCTGAGGGAAAGACGTATTCATAGAGTTATTAATAACACACTGATGGAGCTGAGGGAAAGACGTATTCATAGAGTTATTAATAACACACTGATGGAGCTGAGGGAAATACGTATTCATAGAGTTATTAATAACACACTGATGGAGCTGAGGGAAATACGTATTCATAGAGTTATTAATAACACACTGATGGAACACTGAGTGCTTATAGCCTATACCATCAATACTGGTGAAGGGTTACATTTACATTTACATTTTAATCATTTAGCAGACGCTCTTATCTAGAGCGACTTACAGTTAGTGAGTGGGTTACAGGGTAACCTACAGTATACCATCAATACTGGTGCAGGGTTACAGGGTAGCCTACAGTCAGGGAAAAAAGTATTTGATCCCCTGCTGATTTTGTACGTTTGCCCACTGACAAAGACATGATCAGTCTATAATTTTAATGGTAGGTTTATTTGAACAGTGAGAGACAGAATAACAACAACAAAATCCAGAAAAACGCATGTCAAAAATGTTATAA